CATAACCGATCAGGTCTTTTGGAAAACACACTACGATAGTTGTCTACAAAACATGTAAGTGAATTCTGACTGATTCATTCGCCGCCTTTGACGCAAACTATTATTCCACCAACAAGCCAGCCTTATGCATTTCTCAAGAAAGACAAAGGGTGTACAAATGACAATTATATCTGAATTAGGACATTTGGTTATTATTAAGCATAGCTTCCATTCAGCGTTTGCCTGATTTCAAGATTTTGTCTCTGTAAAAGTGAGCGCGAGCCAAATTCATCACAATGAGCATTTATTAGCAATCTGAAGCAAGAGTTGCACCATTGATTGATTAGAACTAAGATACTCAATCAAAGGCACAAATCCTAGTTGTCTCTACAATAAGCATTATAAACGTATACGAATATTAAAGAAATTCTGGGGCTGGTACTTGTTAAGGCCCAACATTTGAGACTCCATACCATCCATACTATTTAAACGTTAGTGTTGGGCATTCATCGTAAGCTTACTTTAAATAAGTAGAAACCACAGACACCTGAGCTGCCGCATGTATGAAACCTAGATTCCAGGGTGGGCTATACACTGATTCCGGAAGCATTGCTGTGGCGCATTTATACACACACACACACACACGGAAAAATACATAATCAACGATTAAAAACGCAAGAAACGACAGTGAAAAAATACATATTTGCTATTTCCGCTTATTCAAACTTTAGCCGCCCAAAACCCACTATTATAATATGTTATTGAAAACATTTTAAACGGCACAAAAGATGAATGCCTGTGACGATTTAAGCCCTTAAACAAACGTGGCAGGCATTATAAAACCCTACAGTTTCAAAGCCACCACTTTTTTCACGACGACTACTTCTGGGTTTGTTTATTTCTATCGGCAGGCAAATGGCTGATAGCTAAAGTAACTGCTGTCACTGACATACGTAAAAATATCCACTTAAATTCCTAGTTGGTCCCCAAACATGTGGCTAGCGTGATCGATCAGGACAATCCACTTGAGCATCGGCTACAGTAAACCAGCAGTTCTAACATGCACCTCAACAACTAACACACCCTAATCGGTAGCCACAATACCAACTCTTCACCAAACACCTAACAAATCCACCTGCGACCTCCAAGATTATCGCCGCCAAGGCACTATAAGGCAATTAACAAGTGTCGCATTAGCTGCTTTATCGTCGAATCCAGTTTATCAGGTCAAAAGTCCTACACTAGTACTTGCCATCCTCGTTTCGTTTGACATTGCTTCAAGGCACTCCCACTTGTAGAGTTCACATCCGTGGGAAGACAGAAATTCGACTAATGCATTGCTTTAAATCAGGTCCAAGTATGCATAAAGTTGTACTTATTTTGCTTATTTTAGCAAAATATTCATTGGAGGATTAAACCCGTGTACAACCATTGGTAAGTGCAAAATACTATTAGATTGCCATGCATTCAACGTGCAAGTACCGTGTTATGGAAGTTTCCTTAAATTGGCAACAATCTATCATGTCAAGAAAGGGTAGCTCAACAAAGACCTCAAAGAAGTACACACGCAGCCTTCAATTGTAGCACTTCGAAGAGTAAGAGTACTTTCCAAAAATGCATTCTTAGATAAAGGCCGTGCACAATTGTGTGTTTTATTGTGCATTTGGATACCCGCGTTTCACAGCTAGTCTACATTGCTCAATGAACACCGTTGAGTGGATGTGGCAGTTGTGGAGGCTGTGGGTTGTATCATTTATCAGCTGGACGTAATTCTAATGCGCTAATCTAGCCGAGAGGGCAGCACAGCAAAGTGCACGCAATGTTGGCACTGAAGTTAGTGGTAGACTTGCAGGTGAACAAACCCAACAGACGTGGTTCCAAAAGTGCCGTCGTTGAGAATCGGCCCTGAGGACGCAGGGAGGTGCATGCGGACGATCCACATGCACCTCTTGTTGTTAGCGTTTACCACGTAGGACTGTGTAGTCGTGCCAAACCATGGGCACCCAAGTCGAGAGCAAAAAGAGGAGTTACCGCGCTCGACCTGCTGGTCAGCATCAATTGAGCGCTCAGCTATCTTTAGTCAGGTTTCGAAGTGTGCAGTTAGCTCCACTTGAGGAACTGCAGAACTCATGGTTTGTGGTGACTTGCAAAGCATGATTTAACGCAGCACAGGTAGCATCGTTGCTTGCGATGTAATGGCATCCTCCTGACATGTACCACACGTTTAAATGTCACTTTTGAGGCATTTTCACATTCGATTCCGCGGTATTTAGCGTTAACTTTTATTAAAGGGTTTCAAAAACATTCGCCAATAAATATGCATAGGTTATTAGCACTTTAAACTAAAATCTTATTTTTGGTTTGTTCTAAACGTCATCTTATATAACCAATTTCTTAAATTTTGATATGGTGGTGGTGGGCCTATACAAGTTTGGGTACGATAAAAATCTCTTTAAATAAGAGTTAAAATATTTAAGGGCTAGTATATTTAAATTGCCACAAAGCCCTTATATGGACACGATAGTTTAATAAGTTTTTCACTAAATTTTGTAATGTCGGCTAATGTAAATATTGCATAATTACTATGATTAAATTTTGGAGAACTTTTGATAGTTATCATGAAAGGTGGTATTTTGGATAAAAATGTCACTTTTTCACCAACCTCGAATATTGTCATAAAGTATACAACTATATTTGTCTTAGAAATGGATAAATTTGCGATTTAGGAATGTTGGTGTTCTGCCATATTTGATGACAAATGTGAAATTGGGATATTTCGAACAATTTATTTTGCGCATTTGTGCTTTTTGAGCTTGTTTGGTCAAGGGCTTATTATTCGAGTGCTTGTGGCGAATTCCTGACTTAAAACCGCGCACGTGTCCAGGGTCCTTTTCGTAACCTCCTTTTTGTTAAATTGGCAAACAACCTCTGAATGTTCAACTTCCGAAATCCTAAACTCAAGAGCACTGTCAGATGTTGCGTGATATTTTAGGATTGCAGTTAAGTGATGAATCAGTCGTACATGTATTTGTACAAATAAAGAAACAACGCCAAGGTCTAAACGATCTTATTTGTGCGAACCCTAATTCTCAATCTAGCTTCGTTAGACACCGTCCTGTGGTATATAGCTGAGATTACCTATGCTAGCTTATCTAGACCAAATTCTTAGTGTCGCTTCAGCTCATTTGACCGTACCACTCTGCTGCACTTTAAAAGTGAATTTAAAGTGTACTGAAATGCTTTACCTGAGCCTATTCAGGACAAAGTAGTATTTCGCTGCTGTAGAGTTTGCTGCTTACGTGGATAGTAGTGAATGGTGGAAAGTGCTGACAAGATTTTCGCATGGTAGTCTTAGGAAAACTTTCAAGCCTGATCTAGTTACAGAGAGGCGGAACACGTAAATTTTGTTGTTTTCAAACTATGCGAGACTTGTCTTACTCTGGTGCTTTGCACATTTGTGAGCGACGTAAGTTAAGAAACGACATCTTATGTTACACCGTAATGAATCAGTCGTGTATTAAATGCAAAGATCTTGAAACAGCCATCCACACTGCAGAAGTCCGTTGCTTACCTAAATGTGTGATTTTGGTATAATTTGGTGGAACCAATCGCTTAGTAGTGAGTAGCGTAAGGGCTTTTGGTATATATTGGTCATCACGCTGGATGCTGCTCCTGATTTTTACCATTAAATTCAACTCACATGCATGACCTTGCTAAGCCATATTATTTAATGCTATCACAAACATTGGAAAAGGTGATGGAATTAGCTTTACTTTGCTTTACTAAACACAGTTAATTTGTAATAATCATTGAGACAGGTAACTTGAACGACTGCTTACAAAATGATAAAATGTGTTTGTATCAAGCAGTCCTTTTTGTGCGATATTAAGCTATTGGACTTTTATTTATTTTTGTAAAACAGATGTGGAAAAATTTACCTTTTGCTGACTTGGACTCGTTCTTAATCTTGTCAAGTGATTATATTGAATAACCTTCTTTAACTCAAGCAGATGAGAGCAGCAGATTTTGTGACAGCGTCTCAAAAGATCGCAAATTCATCTTAAGTGTCTTTTACGCTTTTGAAACAGGAGAATTCGACAGACTGTTTCTATCGCATTTTGCCATATCTTTGATTGGCAGCACTTTAAGTCGTTCTATCATTTTGATACCTGTCAGGTAAGTTTAAAGTGTGTGCAGACGTTTTTGTCGGCTGAAGCCGCAAAGCTTATGGTCTGCGTAGTGATGAGCACCCTGAATGCTAGGCGCTTTAAATGAATAGGAGGCTCTAAATGTTGTAGGATTTCCGGATATTCTAACAAGCATATCTGTATGGCGATCTAGGCATCGTGACTAGAGACCCATGTTTGACATTTTAAATGCATGGACAGCAGGCAGGTGTAAAATCATATAATTTATTACAATCGGTTAGAAACGGTTGCAAATAATTTACTTAACCCTATTAGGTGCGAAAGACGAAGTTAATAATATCAGTAGAAAGGACATTGAAGATGGCTAAAATAAAGGTGCACAGCTAATGTGGAGAAAGCCAAAAATTGTGGTGATTGCAAAATGAACAGAACCACACCTAAATATAAAAGCAGTAGTTAGGAATAGATACTGAAGGCAGCTGATTAGACTAATTCGACGGATTAGCAGACATTCGAAGTCATTGTTAATTAATGTTGAACTCAGCACGTTGGGCATGCGTAGCTCGCTCCTAAAATGAAAGTACAATTGCCATCAGTAAGCATGTCTACAAATTGTGAAAAATTCAGTGTAAAAGTAAGGAGGCTTCAAGAAATCACGTGTTCGTGAAAAATGTTAGATATCAGTAGGTTTCTTTATGTACTTTTAGCAATTGCTACTAAATTTGCTTGTCATCGTTTTTTTTAATGCCTTCTTGGATAATGCTAGGTTCTTACTTTAGTGACCAATAAGTCTAGTAGCAAACTGAAAAATATCACTAGATCTACAGCATCATGGCTTTTTGTCTTGGGGCTTCAAAGTTAGACAAGAGGCATCTAGAATGGGTAAAATCCTATCAAAACGCCACCTCTCCGTCCATGGTAAATAACGTAGTATAAATGTATCCACCAACTCCCCACGTCGAATAGGGCGATTCTAAATCCCTCGGTCCAGCATCTATCCCAAGTTGACCTCTTGCCCATATCTAAAATCAAGATGAAAAGTAATCTGATGCAAATATTATCTACGCCTTTTGCTTTAGGAGCTAATTTTTCTAGTTAAGTGGGAAAATTTGCAATGAAGAATTGCCTCGGCATAACGTAATCAAGCCACAGTTGGACCTCCGCATGTCACCGCAAAACTTAAAAAAAATTGGCTAATTGAGTCGTGGATATCATTTTATTTCTTCTTTGTTATAAGAAGAAACAGCTTAGCTATCATAATTTCCGCTGATTACTTGCTAAAGGCCCTAACATTTTGTGAACAACACATAACGCGTATGAAATTGAAATTCTAGCGAAGCGTAAACTACAAAAAGCAAGCATGCCGCCACCAGCAAAGCGGCAGTCTTTTGCGACACTTCTATAAGAGCATTTTGTCTGTGAGCAAAATATACAATAAGTCCGCTTCCTACCACAATGACGCCACTAACACAGGGGAAAGTTAAGGCATCTGGAAGCTAATCTTGACAGAAGATACGAGGCTAAATAGCGTCTTGAAGTGCGGTAAAGGGGGGTCAAGGAGTGCGAGTGAGTGAGACAAAAACCGTTCCGCTTTAATTGTGATTGGTTGCTCACATGAAGCACATGGCTTTAAAACAAGTGCTGTAATGCAAAGGACATTATCTCCTTAAGCAGCATGTATCTAAAGCTAGCTACGTTTTCTCAAAGCATAACTATATGAAACAGTCGTTAAAGTGATCCAAACATTTCAAGAAGTCATTCTGAGCCAATGAAAATACTTTAAGATTAGCACGCAAGTCTCTCTACGTTGCCGAAACAAATTTGAGATAAATACCTGATCTGTAAAGTTTGCAGTTTAGTTTTTAACAATCTGTTTTCAGTAAAATACGTACTGCGAATTTGAGGATGTCATAATTTTTTGAAACTGGTGCAAGCCTGCTACTTAATGTTACGATTTTAGTGTTGCGTTGATTAAAAGGCATATGATCTTTAAATCTAGACTTCCCCTGCAACAAAACCTTCTCCACTAAGAAGCCAAAACCATGCTTTTTGGTAAATAAAAATAACGAGAATAAATGACGAACGAAGTATATTCACATCAAACAGCATCACAAATTTAAGCACGCATATTTTTACTTTGCATTGTTTTCTCTCGAGAAACTGGGAATTTGCTTTGAGGAAATCAAGGCAATGTATGCTGCATAGGACATCAAACAATCCAGTGTTTTAAGACAGGTTTTCCAGAGAAAAAGTTAGCTTCGAAACTCTGGTGCTGTGCCAGTGTAGGTTCTGCTTATCTGTTATAATCGCTTTAAGTACTATCTATTCTTAAGAAGTTATGTTAGTGGCTGAAGGTGATGGCGACAAGGAATATTTGCATGCACTGCAGTTTTTTTATTGAGAGCACCAGTACAAAGGCTGGATTTGAAAAAAAAAATTAAAGGCATTTTTGCTGAAAACAAAACTTAGCAGTTCACATTACTTTCTGAATTGATTGAATCTTGTAGAAACTTCTCCGCCGATTATTACTGACTAGCACATAGTATCAGTTAGACTAAACAAACTAAAGAAATAAGCAACATCTATATGGTTCAGTGTGCACCAGATCATCACTTATCACTTAACATTACAAGGTTTCTCGTTGTGATAACGTTAATTTGCCTTTTTATCCATTTTCTGCCCCCTTCCTTTTAAAGTAATCATTCCAAGTTTCAGTGGTGAATAAATTAATTTAGTGTATTTTGCGTGTTTTTTTGAACAAGCGCAATTGTGTTTGAAGCTATAGTATTGACGATATTTTAGTTCATATAAATTATTTAAGTTTTTTCCACATAAGATCTTCGCTTCTTGCAAATAAGTCATCATATTGCCTTATAGATCTATGATTGAAGTTTCAACTATTTGCTCAAGCGAAATTTAAATCGATAATCTGCAATAAAACCAGAGATTAGGTCTTTGGGTGCAATGCTAAATCCGCTTACTTAAATTTGCAGCCACAAAAGCTCTGAATCTGCGGCAAGCTCTAACGCAAGAAAACCCAGTGTTTCGTGAGGATGGCATCTGTGCCAACTGTATGCTCGCCGGGGCGGGCAGGTCTGGTAGCTTGCATGCGGTTCGTCTACGAATGGTAGACGAACTGAACGATTAATTCTGTATTTATAAACGTCATGCAAAATTTTGATCGTTGCACCCGCGGGCTAACGTTTGTCCATAAATTACAAGTAAAATTTATTAAAATGTCCGGTTGGGGTTAATAAATGTATTCCAATGGCGCCTAGACCTGTAATAAAATCCAAACTGATGGCAATTATACAAAAGTCAAGTAAGTTGATTGCTGCACCCACCTTCCGACTACTCTTAGGCAACATTGGGGTGTCTCCGAAGGTGAAGCGGATTATTTGTTTTCCGTGCTCGACGTTCCGAACAATGCGCCAACCATTCAAGTTTTCAGTCTAAATGGCAAGGATCAAGACAACGGTAAATTAACTAAACATTAAACTACCCGTGTGCTCACAGAACTCTGCTTACGACTTGGTCATTTTCAGGTTAAGCTCATGAACTCACATTCCTTGCATGGTGTGACTAATGTCGAAAAATAACCTCAACACTGCTATAATTGGCGGTAACGTTCTTACCTTAATGCTGACCATTGAAAAAAACAAACTAAAGAAATCACCACAGAGCTAGGGTCCCCCAATGGTAAAGCCGTGACCTAATGATTAGTAGATTTGAGCAAACCAAGTGTTACGCTTTTCGACAGGCTTGAGGACCAAAACAAGCAAGCCCATGTGACTATACCAGGGGAAAGTCGACTCAGTGTTTGCTTGAGTCATTTATTCATCGACAAGTGCCATGAATGCCAATTACTAGATCCTACATAAGATTCGGAGCAGTGTAAACTGACGAGTTCAAGAACACAGGAGCACCATTATACCTGAAAATGCTGATGCAGCTATTAGGTCTAAGCTGTCATTTGTACAACTTCCATAGTTCTCGTAAACGAACAGCTGCAGAATTCTTTAAACGTTCTTCAAAGTTTTCGAATATGAGACAGAAAGTGGTATATTAATCGATCAGATAATAAATTTTCAGTTTCATTAAACACTTAGCCAAAGTTGAATCTGGGCTTATTCACAAAAAAGGGGGTCTAGTTGCCCAGCAGATATTCGTGTGCAAATTATCCATAAAATCTTACCATAGACTGTTCAGTACCTAAATGGATGTTGTATTTGTGACAATACTGTGTAAGTTGAGTGAATCATAACATGACTAAATGTTTCAAGGACACGTGGGAACCATTGGCTGCTAAGTGGGGGTCACATGTTTTGCGTAGCACAAGCCTTAATTAGCGGTAAAGTTCTGCCTAACCTTAGCTGTATCGTCTGTTATTTAGCAAGAAATTAGTTCTTGGTTAAGAAGGTTTGAAATTCAAAACAATAACTCCTGGACGGGAGAATTTATTTTCCCTTCTCGAAAGACTGCTGCGAAATGTGACTCTGATTGCCACAAAAGGCTTGCATAACACACTCATGAAGTCATACAACGGACCGTATTTCCATTGTTTGTGATGACGATGTACCTCCCATCAGGGGAGCACTCGTCGATAGAAATTGCGCCTTTGTAGGACTTGTCGAATTGTGTTCGCGCTGTCAATTCCGCCCGAACTCCTCTTTGATTTGGTCTGTCTAACAACAAAAGGTAAGAAAAAGCCGGTTCAAGGGACGTTCGCACAGGTTTTGCTTTTGGCACCAAAATACGAGAGAGCTAATTAATAGATGTTTTGCTTGATCCAAAAAAAACTTTCCTAGAGGCTCTAATTAACTTTTGCAATTCTACTCAAATCTTGATCCATTGCTGCTGAACTTGACCGATGTTTACAGACTATTTTGTAGTAAAACAACTATAAAATCACACGCAAATTAAAAACCTAATGAATCACTACGCGCTTCCTCCATAAAGTACTTCTGAAGCGACAAACATTGAGTGCACAATGAATACTAACTGACGCCTGTTAAGGAAAACCGTTACTAAAATATGAAGAGCAGATGAGTTATAGACGTGCAGAATGGGCTCCTGCGAATCGTGAAACCTTACAAACCTAGATATTGTAAAGAAAAACATTTTCCTACTCCTATCATTGGAGTCTTATGTTTCAAGTTAAAGTCGGAAGTGGGAATACTTGCCGCTGTTATCAGCCTTGTACTGATCTAAGGAGAATTGGAGATGCCATCTTTATCAATTTTTTTCTGATTATTTGATGAAGACATTAGACATTTGGTGAAGTAGGCCAAAGTGAAAAAGTGCACTTAAGATGGCCAAAAGTTAATATAACGATAAATATTGCTGAGCGATTCTATGGTGTAGTCAATAAAAATACAGGTATCTCGGTGAGATATACCATTTAAATCATGTTTTAGGGAGACTCAACAAACACAAATACGGTGATGAATTGTGCCTGGTTTAAACCTCAATCTGGGACAAAAAGAGCGGTTACTCTCTCACATAACTCACGAAAATCGCAAAATAATAATAAAAAATCAACCTATTGCAAGTACTTGTGTGGTTGCCTAAAACACCGATGTCAGAGCAACTGGTTTAGGTTATCTTTCTCTCTCTCGTTCATCTAATTATGTTTCTCGCAGAGTATTAGCTACACCTAAGGTCATTTTGAAGTTCAACTATGCGGAGTATGAATGAGAAGCATCATTAATTTGAACGGCTCCTTTCCTTCAGGTTTATTTGAAGAATCTTTGCCAATCAACTCCATCTCACTATCATAATCGTCTTCAAGTGATGTTAATGCCCATGTTTTGAATTATTAACACCAAATTTAATATGAAAAATTAAATAAAGCATTCATCGTTCAACATCGGACTGCTTACAAAATGTTGTGTTTCAAAAATATTGTGGGTTGATAAAAAAGGTTTTTCAAAGTTGGAATGTCCCTTCCAGACTAAAACCATGAATGCTACAAGAAAAATGGCCGCTTAAGGCCATATTTATGCCAGTCGCTGACTGTGTCTGTACATGAGCTAAGATCCCATTTTACTAGCCCTTTTAAATTCAGTATGTGCATGTTTTGACAAAAAGCTTAAACCTCATCATTCATATCGCCGGACCGATGGATGTCAGTTTTACGAAAACCCTTTCCCAAACTATGAAGTCACTTCTGCTTATTGGTTATCATTTGCTTTTATAGCTCCCAAGCGGATATGACAGCCGACCTAGTAGGAAAAACCCAATGCACAACCTGTCTAATGCAGTTTGATTTACAGTTTTCTGATTCCCTATTCTTTACACATCAAGAGACTGGTTCATGTTATTAATTATCGATGTAGAGGATGCTTATTTAAGGTGCGAGGAAAAGAGAGGTGTCTTATACTTAAAACAATTAAGATTTGTCTTTGATTCACATTTATTAATTCGGTTGCTCCATTTGCTGACATGTAGAAGGTCTCAAGTAATCCAAATTGGGGTTACCAATTGTTGTGGTCACCGGTATATCTTCTTAAACCACACTGAAGCCACCGAGTTGAATCTGGCCCGACAACGCCAACACCTTGGTTGAGCTCTAAAGTAAAGAGTTGTGTCCACTTCCTCTCCGCTCTTCTTCATCATCGTGGCTAGCAGAGTAGCGGAACCAGTCCAGATTCAACTCAGTGGCCCCGGCATGTTTTCTCAAACCATGCTGGGGCCCACCACGTGTTAAAGGTAATCCGATGCTAGACAGTCACACAAACTTCATGTTGTTTTATTTTCTGCAATCAAACATGCCCTAATATTTAATTTTTACTGATTGACGTCTCATAGAAAGAGGAAAATAAATTTACCTTTAGCCATTAAACATTTAAGATGCCTAGTAAATACAGTTGGAGCTTCAAGATTTTCAACAAACAAAATTTTACTCAATTAATGTTGACTAAACATCAAAACATTTTAAACGTAATTTCATAAGGCAATCTAAGGCTTTAATCTAGACGACATACCTGGTTTATAGCTGCATGACAAATGCTGTTCGCCTGAAGACGAAAATGTGCGCAGGTTAGTAATCTAATGTGGCTTTAAATCCCTCATAATTGTAACCAATTTTCGATTTGAGAAGAATAAATTGATGCATTTCTACTACCAAAATATTGTCTCTTTATATCGAGAAATAAATTAATGAGTTTCTACTGTCAAGTGCCAAAAAAACAAAAAGTAAATACCGAAAATTGCCCTAATGCAAGATTACGAAACAAGTTTGTCCAGAAAATTTGAAATTGGTTTTTTAAAGGTGATCCAGTTCGACGCAATAAAGCACTTCTTAAAAATTCAAAAACTGCTACAGGCTGCATTGCTGTACTCAACAATTTCAGTTCATTAAGACTTATATAACCTTTTTCAGAGTCTAAACATGGAACAAAGAGTAATTTTTGATTCTTGTTATCTGACAGAATGGATTCAGCTTAACAGAGTTAGATTCCAGGATGCTGCGCTCACCTTCACCGTCGAATTCAACTAGTTTTGATCGAACCGAGGAACCTGATGGATCACTCCTTTCCAGAAATCGATGAGTTCTAAAACATGACATCAAGAAATACCTGAATTCTTTAACTATTTAAGATTGCTTTTCAGGAACAATGCTTGTGTCTCAAGCCGTAATTGATCAAGTGTGTTGAAGCGCATGTGTTATTGTCAAATCACTGCACCGATTTTGGCAGTATTTGTGGCAGACTACTGTGCACCTTATCTTAGCTACTAAAATTACAGTTTGGTATTTTATTCATAGCTTCTGATCAACCACTAACTCCTCATCACATTTTGTAATTGCGTTTGATTAAATCATTCAAGAAAAATGTGTTTACATACTACTGATTTCAAGTTTGCATATTCTTGTAGTTTGCTTTACGAATCTAAAAGTATTGATGCCTTAGTTTTGTGCTTCAGCATTGGCCAATGCGTTCCTTTTTGTTTTTAACTTTTGTTATTTTCACTTAAGAAATGTGAGTCAATTTGGAGAAGTGGTTAAAAAGTTTGAGATAGTCAAGACCAAACAAGCAATCACGGACTTAATTAATTTTGACAATGCTTTTAGGAAATTGAACACCAGCTTTACACCGTTCTTTCTCTCGATTCAGATTTGGAGGCTCTTGTGAAGTTGGCAAAGAGGTGTAGAACACACAGCAAATGTGACAAAAAGGAGTTTTCAAATATCAACTCAACCATTTCATTTATTACTCAGCTGTTAAATATTGCTTAATCTTGAATCCAGAATAAAATGGTGCTTTCATGTCTTAAATTAAATCTTCCAATGCAGTGATTTAGCAGTTACTTGACTTTTGACAGTCCTTTGGAGATTTTGACCTCGACAACTGCCTTCAAAGAACATGTGCAATGAATATTTTTTGGATCTTGGTGCAACGATTAAGTGCTCACCTTCAAGAAATATTTAATAACATGGTGGGATAATGTGTTCCCAACTTAGGGCATGAAATACTTTTCTTTTCCTGCAACTAGTCATGAAGCATTGGATTTAAAGACAGATTTCATACGTTGAGATCAAAGTAGAGAACGCCAGACACACTGGGTGCTTGGTTTCAGCGTTCAAATGAAGCAGGAGTCTGGGTTAGAATTAGTGTTAAGTACTCAAAAATGGCACACAACTCGGGGCTTACACCATCGGTTCAGCCGAAGTGTTTGTGTTTGCACACTGGTTGTGCTGCTTTTTCCTGGACTTCGGTCGAGCGCAGGCACAGTGGTGCCTATGTTTCCTTGGCTCTGGGAAAGGCCTTCAAACAGGTTTAATAATACCTTACACTTGCATTCAGGCATCACTGCTTTCTAAATACTACTTCTGAATGCCAGTCGTACTATTTTTAAAGAAGAAGCAAAGGCAAGTTGAGTTTAAATTATTTTGTGGGCAGTCAGTTTTATTGAAAATAGTTCTCTGCAAAATACTAATATAAATTAAAAATTATTGTTCATTTGATAAAAATTTTTGTCATCCGTATGAGCTCGAAAACCCACACCCACGAGGCTCTGTATAAATATTTTTAGCAAACTGTTGGAAGAGGATACTGTGCAAGGCCTGAGCATCATTTCACTATCTTCCTACCAACAATCAAGTACATGCTTATTTGTTTCGGACTTTATTCGGATATTCAAGTCATCGTAGCCACGAGCTTATATCGAAACGTCTGTACCTATCCTCAAAAAATTAAGAGAAGCGTGCACGCAATGCAATTTAACGTAAAAGTAGTTCATAGCCAGGCGTTTGATGTATCGATTACCAAAATGACATAATTTTCTCCATATAGCTTTTAATTAGTTAGAAAAACACCGTTTTACAAAACACGAAACCTGTAAAAAGGGGGTTTTAAAACCTACGCATCTGAAGGGGGCACAGATGAGCCAGTTCGTCTCTGAGGGCTCAAGCTGGAGGGTCGAGGGCCAGAGTAGACTTCGCGAGGGGTTCTACTTCTGGTAGACGTTGATGGAACGTAGACAGTCTCCTTACTAGCGTTAAGGATGCCACCCTGGGCGTCAAGAAGACGCCGATAGGCGGCTATTTCAGCCTCAAGGTTGAGCTTCACATCCATGAGTGCCGCCATCTCGCTGTGTGCCTTCCCCAGCGCCTCCTCCGCCGCTTCTCGTTCCTTTGCAGACTCTGACAATTCATTGTCAATTCTGCGGCGCAACTCCTCAGCTTCTGCCGACACCTCGCGCATCGTCTTTTCCAGATACGAATTCTTAATAGTGGGGAATGATATGATTTAGAGCTACATCAGACGTAAATGTTCCTTTTGATTTTTGCGTCTGAGGTCTCATGCACGGCCGCATCGTATTCCCAACTCTACTAATCCCTTTTACGCTTTTGCATGATGTCTAGCCTCCATTAATAAATTATGCTCAATTAAGAATTTTATTATTCTCCTGCCAATAATAAACCCACCTGCTTTGAGTGTTGTCTAAAATAAACACATTTAATGCCACCGGACGAGTAAAATCTTGAGTAACTGCAAGACGCACAGCATGAATAGACATATGGGATAATTGTCGATAGGATTTCAAAAGTAATCGTAACTGAAATGGAGTAATGCCAGGTGTCGCAGTAAAAATGTACGTTGGCGGATATCGTACCGTAAAGCTCAAGTTAATGAAATGAGCTTGGCGGAGCTGCAGGGTTTGAACATAGTGGTTAAACATCCAGTATTCTTCATGTCGCTGACCACAAATATTAACTATGAATCAATTAAGTTGCCAATTTATACACTTTAATTAAAGTTCGTGACTATTATTACCTACATTGGTATCATTTAGGTGCATGTGCAACCTTATTACTCATTTGTTATGCACACAGTTCTTTAAATAAAGCAAAAGATTTTTTTAAACACTTGTGTTGATGCGGTTTGATTACGTAATTACTTTCATATCAACGCATTTGTCCTGCTTTGTGTAGTCAAAATCTTTTGCACTGGTGCTGTGTGTTATCATTAAACGAATTCGGTGAAGAATTCTTAAGAAATGCTAAAATTTCCAACATTGCTTAAAGGGGGACTTTCGGCGAAGTAATTGACTTTTCCTGCAAGGTCACGTTGTTTTGCTTGGATAATCCGTTTACTTGAAAAACGATTCTGTTTTTGTCCACCGTTTTTGACTTGCTTTAACTGTCAGTTTAAATCCCGCTAGATAAAAACTGTTATCAATAAACAAATAACATGCGTTAGACACCACTGAGATAGGTAGACATTGTCTTTTCTGCCGTTTGCAGAATACGCGTTGGTTTTGCAACCGGATTTTCTAGCTCTTATGTTTCTGGCGATTTATAGCTCTCCTGGCCTGTGGCGCCTACTGGAAGACTTTTGTGATACGATCAGGCTGCATGTCGCCGGAATAAGCTCATGCACAAGAACTAAGTGAAGTGTTTGAAGCCATTAAACGTGTTAAAATTCTGCTCAAAACGGGAAAGACACAACCCATGAATGGCTTCACAGTACCTTAAATTTGTGAGATTCCCGATGGACAAACTACCACGAATTATACGAATATCACAGACCGAAGTCAATTTTTAGCTGATGTTGCTGTTGCGTGAATGCATCGACTATTATCGCGCTTTGAATATGTTGCTGAGCAAATTTTACTTGATCTGGTTCTACTTGCTGTCACACATGTAAAACGAGTTGCTTTTTTTAGATCGAAAGTTGTATACTTTGCCTTCAAATGTAGTGTGTTAGGAACATTGTTTCCGCTTAGTCGGACAAAAGAATTAAATAAGGATAAATAAATTGTCAGCTTTTAATTTTCAAAAGTTATAAAAGGCAGCCAAAATGAAAAAAATAATGTTAGTCTCCTCCACTGAAGTCGCTGTGGTATTTTTTTTCAAAGGGAAATGCTCCATGTATATTTTTAATGTTTGTCAAAACGGTAACTATGGCTTGGACTGGTAGCTCTTCTACTTAGCTGGAAAATAAACAACTGAATGACATTTTGGCAGCTGATACACCACAAACTTTGCTCTAATCGATTACTAGGATCTTCTTACCGATCGCGGCCCACACCATCATAGTCTCATAAACGCCAAACTAGTCCCTTACGAAGCGAAAACGTGTTAATGTGTGTGTGTGTGATTGTAATGGATACAGTAACACAACAAATTAGGATAAGCGACGTGGAACGTGTTTCCTGCTAGCAAATTATCAGCTGGATAAAAGTTAAGTAAGGTCTGTTATCGTTTCTACTAAATACTCACATGATAAAGACTATGTGTACATAAGCTCCTTAACTAGTATTTTTAAATATTACTGCTTTTGAAATATAAATTCCAGATTCATTCAAGACGTGGTTTTCTGTTTAGGTGTAAAAAGAGGAAATTAGGGTCTAAAATATTATGGCAAAGGTTACTATTACTGCTTTAAAGGGTTTAGTGCTAACGTGCTCCTAAAATCATGGCAAACAAAATGCTAAATTAATGTTTACGTTAATAGAAGCGGTGCCTACTTCCCCTGGCATCTGCGTGCCATAATGATGTGCAGCGAACTTTTACCAAACAAGCACAAGTGACGCGTATTCATGCGTTGATCGAAAGTCACCGTTTGTCGATTACAGTTGACGTTCGAGTTGCCCTCACGCGCTGTGCTATAAAAGACTTGGATGATCCTACGTAAATACATCGTTATATTTGCCATCATTGGTCTTGCCTTTCTTCTCGGGCTGTTACGCACTGTCAACTAGCAGAGTTTTAAGGTAGTGCTAACGAGGCCGCTTCAGTGGTACATTTAAACAAATAAGACAGCATTTGCGCTAACGTTAAGGCGTCAATCTACTTCGACCCTCTTCTTTACTTGTAGAATTTCTACTGTACGACGTGCATTTAAAAACAAAAGATTACGGTTCAACCAACTGCTGAATTTGTTGACTGAACGGCTACGCATCGTTGCCCCTGAGGAAGACAATTTATTGACAATCTCTGGCAGTGGCATATTCTGGCGAAATTGGAAGCCAAGGCCTTTTGCACTATCACGCAAATACGCTAAATTATCCACCAGGGAGGCAGTTTTAACCCTTATAAACTCCCTCATTGATGTTCGTAGATACGCCAAAGCAAAATGCACTAGAGCTGTAGAAACACTGCCATCGTATAGCTCTCATGTTTCGTTATCTAAGAAGTGCCTAAATGCAATATCCATAGGATGTGCGAACGCATTGGTTTATTACCTTCATTCAACACATGCTTAATAGAATATCCTTTTTTTAAAAATAAGGCTTCTATTTAATTTAGGAAATCATTGTGGGATGTCAAGGTTCCAATGTATCCCAGATTGGATTGACTATCTTAATATGTGTCTTGGTTAATGAACACAATTTAATTCTATATTTAGCTTTCGAAATTCAAACATCATGACACAAAGTTGAATGTTTTTTTAAGCAATAATTTTGTGCATATCAAAACAATCCATCTGCACGCACAAGTGCTATTTCTAGAAGATAGCCAACACATGACTGCATGCCTAGGACATTAGACAGATGTCTACACTCTTTTAATATGGAGACCATGCATCAAACTTCAAACGTGCATCTTGAAGACAACTTTCATTCTTCGATTAACACTAGGTGTAGGCTTCCTTATTTCTGTAGTTGACAATGTCCACGCTCAGACAATTTGGAATTAGCTCGTGGATGTGGAATTAATTGTAGTCGGTAGTAAGGCGTAAAACGTTGTGCAGGGCATGCAATGGGTCATACTCTCAGAAGAATATTTTCATAGTTAATCAATCTCTTGTATATTGGTTTACCTTGGAAGAACATAGTCTCCAGTAGTTTAGTGACACACTGTTAGTCTATAATTAACGTGCATTGTCTGTGGAGAAATTTGATTGTAGACTTCGTGATGGAGCTATGAGAAGATAAAAGTGGTCTACTTCATATCAAGTGTACGTGACTCGGTACGAACTTTTCCTAATTCCCGATATGGATTGCAAAGTTTTACCACTGAAATTTGGATGGTAGCTCTGCTAGGGCATACATGTTAGTCCTGCCGGAGACTGCAGCCAAATTCTTTTTTTTTCCACTCTGCGCAGTAGAAGTCAAAAGCGCAAGAAATGAGGGTTTTAGGTTTTAGCGCAGATGACTGTTCATTCTAGTGGATATTTTCGATTGACTTAGTGTGTCCCGAAACCTCAGCATTCATGTTTCCAAATTTTTCCTCATCCTATGAATGATCTGCGTCAAACTTTGCCGCCTCTAACCAAACTACGCAACAACACCTTCTTGTCACATCCGAGTCTATATTACAATTCGTGGATGACTTGCTGCGAAATTGATATATCTCAGTACAAAGCCCTGAAAAAGAAACTAAGCCCCCATGAATCAAAGACCTTTTTACTCGTTTGTCTTTGCGCATCACTGCTGACCATCCGCAGTCACATGCTATTACCGTGCATTGCATACTTTAATTAAGCAATCTCACCTTTGATTGAACTTGCACAAGCTGCTCACGCATTCCATCCGAATTCTGCTTAAGACGGCAGTTTTCTGACTTGAGAGCATTAAGTTCGGCTTTTTGGTCGGTGTTCGCTTTGGAAAGTTCACACAACTACAAAAAGATGAACAATTTTTTCAATCCAGTTCCCTACTTGATTAATAGCTTCCCAACTGAGAATGCTTTGCACCATTAAGCAATCGTTTATTAAATCCGATTTTCTTATTGAGTTTATTCCCTATTCGGCATGCATTTTAATGGATATGCAAAAATCTTGACTTCTATTCCTTTATATTCCGGGAGAAAATTAAACCAATTTTATTAAGTCCTAATTTTGCCAGAGCAACCTCAGCTTAAAATGTGGCCACCTAGCTGCCAATGACCAATACATTTGTCACACACTCTTACTTGTGACAAGTGTTCACTGGACTTTGATCTTATGAAGTTAAATTACATTCAGACTTGATTTCTAGAATTATAAAATTATTTCCAATGCTACGAATTATAATAATTTAGGTCGCTCACCTCAATCTTTACATATTTCTTTTAAACAAGCCACTCAAATTTGTTCTCGATTTATCCGGATTTAAGCTTAAGCAGCGTTATGGCATTAATTTATCCATTTCACAAGTGACTTTGAGTGCAAAAGATTTTTCCCCGTTGACAGATTAAATTAAAGACTTTTGGTGTCAGTCGAGAAAGCACTGTTTAGGATAACTAAAGGTCAAAAAAGTATTGCAAAATAATTTCAGTCGCGAAATGTGTATTTGATCATCAGACCTTTTTCATAACTTTAAACGTGGTACCAAGTGTATATGCTTGCTAGTCCTTGAATTTTTAAAACAATTGATTATAATTTATGCGCACGATCCATCGTTGTTATATAGTTTTTATTCGAATTAAAAATTAACCGTTTTATTTTCGTTAGATATTAGGTGAGGAATGCCAAATTAAAAACCAGTTATGACTGCTGTTATGACCAGGGTATGCGGATTTAATTATATTAATGTCTCCTCACAGTCCACGTAATTGTGGTTAATAATTTCTTCGTGATCATTTCATCGGTATTTTCGCCTCCCGTGGTTCGTGGTTTTGCGGTACCACTTAAATAATAAAATTTACGGCCATTGACCTAATGTGACCCATTAACTACAATTTGTATTTATGAAATGCATTTGCGAAAACACTTTAGTGTGGCACTCAGTTTCATGACTTGGAAATTTCCATATTCTGCTCTGGATACGAATGCAACGAAATCGTCATAAATGCCATAATTTCGTTTAAAACGACTACATTAAACTAAGTCACTTTAAAACTAATAGAAGTTTAAATGTCATTCATTAAAAAATATTTCTTTGTTCAGCGAAGTGAACACTACTGCGCCTAGGTTTCTTAAGCATTGAAAGACTATCAGAATGGCAGTTACTCTTCAATTCGCCAAACTAATTTCTGACAACCTTTAGGTAGATGCGTGAATGACTCCATCGTTGCAAAGACTGCAGTCATAGTCACGCTCCCATCCAGTATCAACTTTCCCCGTGATGTGGAAAATATTGTAGAGCCTCAGCAGAATGTAGTTTTAGGAATTATTTAATTATAAAATTTTGAAAACGCCAAAAAATACCCTTCTCACACTTTAATTACGGACGCATTTCTTTAAATGAGAGGACTTGAATTCCCACATCACAGGCTATGGCAAAGCTGCCAAACACTGCACTTGACTTTGCTGGAACCCACGTCTGCGCAAATTCGAGGCAGTGGCCTGTTATTGGGCATCAAAATCACAAATAGTTTGCTCCTTTAAATGAATTCATTGGTGAATTGACGTTGGTGAATGGCCAATGGGAGCACTGCGGATCAATAACATTGAACTCCGCAAAGCCCAGCTAGCCTACTAGACGGCGGGTCCAGCTATGTTGGACGCCTTGAAGAAATATCTTCCTGTAGAAATTATTCTTAATCATTTCTCACAGATTGCGTAAAACAAAGTTCTTTTTCAATTAACGGAAATTTTTTTGGATTGTTTTGAAACAGTTCTTGAATTTTATTTCTCAATTTTGTAATGCTTTAAAAGTAAAATCATCCTTTCTATTGTGTATTACATTTACGTGTTTAGTCTACTTACACCGTTATGCAAAGAAATGTTTTTATAATCCAGCAATAGCAAAATAAGGCGCTGAGTTACCTACTGCCAAGAACGAACCTGTAACCGCAAAACTAGTCACAAGGGGTTCGGGAAAGGTGTCATTATTTAGCAGGTATTTCATTGTGCGGGAATTTCACTGGCCACTGCGTGATAAGAAAGTATTGTGCTGTTTCTGGTCAGTTTATTCAAACAAAATCCAGATTTCGTTGTCTCCTTACCAGCACATGTGATTTATTTGCTATGCAATGTGACTGGGCGAGATTTAAGCCCACGAAGATGCCTACGTGAGAAGCACCTTATAGTTTGGATTTAATCGCTTGTGTGACAGGATCGGTATGCCGGACAACCGCCTGTGTATTATCTGTCATGGGATTTCTTTGAGCTCTGACAGTGCTTGAAATCTGGGCTAGTCAGGCTTTCGAAAACCCAAGACAAGGCTTTTCAGAATAAACTGCTGCATTGACGTTTTTACCTTTTCGCAACCTAAAGACGGTCTTTAATGCCTCCATCAAGGCCACTTCGCTTTGGATGCTGGAAATGCACCTATCATGTCCCTTAGTTTGGCCATGACTTCATTAAGGTCAAGAAGTTACCACGATCATCAAAGAAAAATCAGTCAACATGTATTCCAGGATTTCGGTTTGCAAATGCTTCCATTTGCTGACTGATATCGTAGTGTAAATATTTTAATGAATCTTTGAAATTAATTGGTTTGTTTTCTTTCCCCGTATTTCTCAGTGCATGTTTTTGACGCAATTGCAAAGAACTTTTAAGAAACACGCATTTAATTTCCCCTAATGTTCTTCTTCAGGCCCCATGTTTTTCAAGTATCTACACATCCGCTGTCACTGATTGCAGGCAGAAAATCGTAAAATGATTTGAATATAGCTCTGCAAATTTAAAAAAAATTAAAACACCCTGTTACACTAGAAACCAATCAATGACACGGGGATTTTAGATTGAAATTCAAGCATACTAAGTGCTTTTTTGAGGACATAACCAAAATGGAGAATTTGGCTTCAATAATTTCGAAATGTTTATTGCTTTAGCCTCAGTTTTTAAATAATGTAAAATGGAGTTATTGGTTGTCTGTCTTTGTTAGAAAAATTATTTGAAATACTGAAAACTGGATCATGCATATGCAGTGTTGGTCTTGGTCGGTCAACAAGATAGTTAGGAAGTCAGGCAATCTTGTTTACTTGAACAGTAATCACATTTTACAGTGGCTACCTTTGACAGTGGCTGTCTTTGACAGAGTCAGCTTCAAGGTAACTTCCGCAAGTCAATTTGCAGAAAACCAAATATCCTGTGAAATAACGCAAGGACACGTAGTCTATGAAGCGCATTATTCAGTGACGGGTAAGAAGGAAACTAAAATGTCTGCCGAATTGAAAAAAATGCCTTGAAATCTAATTTTCATCTGGTTTGATTCAGCAGGAAAAGTACTTTCTCGAGCACTTTAAATTTCGAGGTTACAAAGGTTAACCAGATAGTATAGCTGCGTGTCATGTATAATTCAGGGATAGGCACACCAATGTAGCTCTTAGGCTTCTGACAAACCCAAAAAGTAAATGGTATAGGGCGCATAAGAGTGACATCACAGTTTTCCATAAAAACGAAAACGAATATAACATTGAGCGAAGGAGGAAAGCGGCAGGGTGACCGCTTCTGCTTTCGACCCAACCATCACCACCACCACACCATCACCGATGCGATCAATAAGGCTCTGGTGACTTGGGGTGGGTGGTGCGTCTGTCAACGACGAACACAATCATGTCCAATACTTCTTGAACCAAAGACTTACAGGCACTGGGAGTATTTATTATGCACATGGTTTATTGGTGTAAATATGTTGCTATACGGCCATTTCACGTTAGTCGAAGTGGAAATAAAATACTGGCACTTAATAAATTAAGCTAAGTCAAAATTACCCTTGCATTGTACACATCTTCCATGTCGAATTTGAGTTTTTCGAGTTGTTCATCATATCGGTTCTGGATGTCGTGAACGGCCTGGCTGAGCTCATTCTGCCACATTTCTCGGTCAAATCCCTTCCCAACGTCATCTAATGTGCGATGCATCTCCCTAATCTCCTCCTGGTGTGCCCGACGCATGAATTCGATCTCCTCGCGAAGCGTCTGCATCTCCGATTGGCCAGACATGCGATTCGCAGTCTCCTCGTCAAGGTGCTTAATTGGTGTAAGAAAATGTTAATGTAAAGTAACGAGAACTCCAGCTAAGTGCATTTAGAATTGGACAAGCACAGATTTTAAAGTCCATGAAAGAGGAGAACTCGAACAATTAATTGTTACTTAGGCAAAATTACTGAGCGGTCAGCTCAATTGAATGCCCCTGTTCAAGCCTTTGGTGTGACAACTACAACTTGGCAATGATATTACATGCTCGCTAAATGGAGTGTGACTTAGTCGTGCCACAGCTGAGACTTACGCGACCTTGTGCTGAGCCGGATTATTGAACAACTCGGTTGTTAAAATGCGAGGTGATTTAAAATTTCTTATTGACGCTAGATAGCAGAATGCCTACGTCCTCACGTTGTCTGCTGAGTTAGGGATGCGGCTGAAAGATTTATAATGCTGTATCCTACTCATTAAAAGTCAATAAAAGATTTTTACTACTCAGCATTCCAAAAATCGTAAATCTTATTATTAGTTATCAGGTGTAGCCAGCTGCAAAAATGGTCTATGTAGGACAATTTTATAATGAACAGTTTTGTGGTACGATTGTACAAATATTCCCACAAAAAGTGAAGAACGAATTTTCTAACAACCTCATGAAATATAATACCCGGCTGATCACATATCTACTTGGATGGGAGTTAAATTTGTACGAATTATGGCCAAGCCATTCGACTCGCTGGGATAAATTGAATTATATTTTCAAGCTGAATCCAAAGAGGATTTCGATAAACCAGTTGAGTTGCCATCGCATTGTTTTTATTCACTCTATTTGATGGAGCCTTGTTTGTCCAAATGTGGGTCAAACAGTACCCAATGTTCCCCAAATGATCGCCTTCAGCACCACAAAGCACGCCAAAATGAGTCGCTTTTTCAAATCTGTCAGACGTCCTGTTACTGTCTGGCGTTTTTGCACTATTTAACAAACATCGGACGTTGTCCAAGGTAATGATATATTGCATGTTCTTCCTTGAAGCATTTACGAAAACCTTAATTTTCAGTTTAGGTGTTAAACAGGTCTTAATGCTCCAGTGTAAATTAAACACGAACAGATAACACAGCGAATCCCTAGCCCAAACGATAATTTGTTTGCATTACAGGCATAGCAGAAAATGAATTTTATCTCTACATGTTAACAAATGATATCTAAAACTAGTTGTTAATGCTTTTACCTGGAAATACACTCATATTTGTTAAAAATAACTCTGTTTCAGCAATCTAACACTTTATAAAGTTCAAAATATGTCAAACATAAATGGAGAGTAAAGCATACACCGATTTCTGTAACAGTGCAATGAACCTGCAGGTTGGTTGCATGTATACGTGTTTACCCCGAGTTAAGATTAATTAAAAAGGTCATTGGCTATTTTTTTTGAAGACAAATCTTTGAAGCCATGACACCTTCACAATTTCTAGGAAAATTTGGTATTTGTGTGAGTTCAGGGCGTAGCACCTTAAGCCAGCCACATTAGGAGGCAGGGCTGTGCAAGCAAAAATAGCTGGCTGGTATGCGAACATGCGAGCCTGCGATGCAACGGGAGGCACGACAAAGGAAACATTTAAAAACACGCTTTCAGCACCGTAAAAATACCTCGAAAGAAGTTTTGTTTAATTATAACTCTGAAGGTCAGTTTGGCTGACAGCATACGGTGGACCCTGTGAATACTGCCTCGAATTTACAGGCATACCTCGTCTATGTGTTTAGGCATCAGTGTTTCATGTAGAAAGGGCCTCTCGTTTTTGCATTCATTTGAGTCAGTCGATTTGCCAGTGCTGGAGCATGTGTTGGCACCTAGAACCATGTGTTGTCCATTTTAAGGGTGACTCGCTGAATTTTTAAAATAAAAACCCTTTTTTCCCGGTGAAAATTATTGATATACAAACTGACGAGTCTTTGTAAATTGTGCACAAATAAAATTTTGCCCAATTTTTTGCAGCAAAAATGTTTAAATCCTTGTTCAGACCTATTTTGCAACTGAACACGCATTCATTTGAATTTTCACATGGATGCATTGCATAAATCATAATGACCTTATGTTGAAGACTGAGCATTTTTGAAAACCTAGAACTAGTCATTGCATTTTGATGTCCCACCGCATATGGAGAGAAAACTACAACTTCGCGTCCGTTTCACGAGATGTCGTCAGCTTCAATGTTTCTACTGTGCTGCCACCTAGGCCAGAGGTAGGGCACAAGTGCAAAATTTGTTAGTTTAGCATGAGAAGACGATCCCTTACCTTACCTTACCTTACCTTGAGTCAACAAGAAAGATTGTGACGTTAGCGTGAAGCAACTGAAATTGCCGTGAGTGCCAAAGCAAACTGGCTGCATTCTAAACCTCGCTCTATACGCTGTATTAAATTGCTCATTTTCAGTTTCTCTAAGAGAATGTTAGTGGTCCTTGCTACCAATGAAAGCTAAAAATTTTAAGTAAGCCCACTAGCACACAAAATTGCAACCTACACTTCTATGTCACTTTAATAGACCATGTTGCACAATGCCCACTAGTTCTGGTAGCACATGTCCAGCAACCCCCTTCCGGAAACCCCTGTTTGGTCAGCTGCTCTACTTTTTCACAGGATCCCCGAGATGGGACGTTTGATCCCTGTGCATTACAATGACTCACAACTGTTCACACACCCAGTACAGCAACAAAGTGGAGACAATGAGCAGACAGTTGCGTCTTCGTCACGTTTGGCCTTCTGCACAGAGTACTCGGGTTTACATCATGCGTCGACGTATTCAAACTGGTTATCGCCAAGGTCAGCACAGTTCCTCAACTTCAGAACCTTGACAAACCACATCACTAACAGATTGTCTTAACTTTAAGATAGATTAAGTGTTTGGCATTGGTCCGTGTGTAGCTTTTACAGTTTCAGCACGTGTTAAGTCTCAAAGATCAAATTTTGTAGATCCATGTCATCCAACTCCCATAATCATTTGTTGAGTTCAGTTTCATCGACAGATTGAAATCCGAAACGGTTGACGACACTGAGTTGGACGATAAACTGCTGAGGCTAAACGGTTCAGATGTCATCCCATGCACGCTACGGCTTCATTAAAGCCCCATTAATCCTGAGCTACTCGAGCTTCAGTTAAACACTTGAAGTGTTTTTTGCATCACGTTTAAAGACTAACCGCTTTCTCCTTTGAAGCCTACTTTCTAAATCGCATTCCAAACGTTTGAGCAACTGGTTATTGTGAAAGGACGTTTGCTTGACATATCCAAGGTTTACCTGACAAATGGTTTCGTTGTCTCGTCTCAGTTTATCAGCATTCATTCTTTCTTTTTCAAGTTCACTTTCAAGGTCATTGAGCCGGCGCTGCAGCGTGTTCAGGTCACCATCACGCTTGTTCATATCATCAAAAGCCTGTTCCAATCTTCTTTTTACCTTCTCGTTTTCTTGAACTAACTGTTCAATTCTGAAACGCAGAAGAAACACCGGGTAAAGATTACATGTATGAAAGCAATACCTACTTACAACCCAACAGTAGATGTTAAGAGATCTTTCACGTGGCAGCAGCTTGTATGAGGCGAAAAAGGCTTTCCATTAGGATTACTGACTACTAAAATCAAGTCAATGGGTTTAAACTAGGCCCTTAAGTAAAACAGCATTTATTTTTGAAGACCCGAATTTATGGTAGCTGTAGTTAAGTAGTCAACAACATGGATAATTGTTTGTCAACTCAGGTATTCATATCTGATATATCTTACTGTTCTTCCAGATTCCTATTGAACTGTTGAGCTGATAGAAGCTTTGAAAGACTTTCTGCCTTTTCCCTATCTGAGTCGTCGAGGAGTTGACGAAGTTGTTGCATTTCCCCTTCGTAAACCTCTTTCGTCTTTTCTGATTCAGTTAGCCAACGAGATTTCAGGCTGGCTATCTCCTCGGTGAGCTGCCTGTTGTGGGCTGACAAGTAGCGCATCTATTTGGTCGTAAAAAGAGGACTTCACTACACTGAAAAACACTTGGCATTTGTTGCATGGCTGCTGCCTCAGATTTTTAGAAATCAGAAATCGATCTTGTTAAGTAAGCTGTATGACCATTACTATCTTTGATGGCTGCTGACTTGCCACACTGGAGTAGACAAAACCAGTGCACAAATTACGACACTACTCCATCTTTGAAACTGACATGCTGCAAATTTTAGTTTTCTGCCTAAATGTAACAATTTAACAATTATCAAGATGTTCAATAAAAAAACCAATAACTTGGCCTTAGTAGGTTCGTTTACTTATATAATCACCTATGAATTCTATTTTTTTGTTTCGTAAATTTTACAAGATTAAATAAATGAGGAGACAGTTTTTGCGGAAAAAATTGTTATAAGTTTAAAACCCGCACTACAAAATTTAAACGAAATGAAATAAAAGAACTTGTTGTTGTGCAATCACTGTAATGTCACTTTGCACATTATAGTAATTAAAGGCAACACGATTCGTGCCTTACTTGTTTAACAGTCAACAGATAATTAGCCATTTGTGGGGTTGGCGTGCTTCGTTGCACCCTCACGAAAGGCAGTATTTGCGTGACTATGAAATATCTACCGATGGAAAAATGCGATCACTAGAGACAAAATGCTGCCTTAAAACAATTTCCTAGTGCAAATATTAACAAGACGTCTAAAAAATGGGAAAATAAATTCACAAAATGGCTTTAGGCAACGGTGAGCATTGTTACTGTTGCTAAGACCCTCAGATTTGGTCGCTGCCAATTTAAAAAAAAGGTTTATTTGTACAATTAGTGCAATTTTTTTCTAGAGTCATTGTGGATACCCGACTTGTAGACGTTTGTACATACAAAAAATAAACTAATGCAAAGACCCAATCCGTAACAAATTCATCAAGTGGATTAACTCCAAATCTATCTTTGAGCTAGATAACCCAAGTAAATGAAAAGAATGATCTGATGCAAGCTCATGTTTACAAAAGCCTTCAATCTCGTTGGTAGATTTCCAGATTAGCCTCCTCGCACCAGCGTAATGACCCGAAGTGCATTTGTGAATCCTTGTGTGTTATGAAGCCCTACTTCTCATTCAAGAAATAGTGACAACTTAAGCAAATCCTGGCTAATTTAAGCTGGTGTCATGCACAACTAAGATATAGTTGGATTTTTGCAAGTGTCTTTGAGTAGGAAATCTGTTTCAGTTTTAACTATTCTGCCTTCTAACTACATTAATGACACTTTAAATGTCCTGAGATTGAGGGAATTGAAACTAGGGCGCGTTTAAAAAAACGAAAATCAGAATGGCAGTTACGAGGCATTAAGAGTTCCATCACAGAAATCATTGCAGCATAATGCTCAATGGAATCTGATTTACAAATTAACGGTGGTAGCCACACATGCTTTTGAATCAACAGCAAAAGGAACTAAAGAACATTTTTGGGTCAGCAGCACATCTGCGTCTTACATGTACTCACTAACGTGATAGCAATCAGTGTACAGTTTTTTATATCCATTTCATCTGCTGAAAAGTAAGTGTGCAGCAGCCCTAGTGTAGTTTTGGGGAACCAAATCAGGGCCGGCGATATGCACCGACAAGGCCCAACCAAGAAAAGAGTAGAAGCGCAGATGGCGCGTAGCTCAACTAATTTATTAATGCAATAGCGGTGTGTTTGTAAGGGATAACAAGTGCGTTTACATGAATTCGCTAAGCGTCGATCCTTGAGCGAACAGAGTTATTTGAAGTGCATTCACGTAAATCGATAGAATCGTGTTCGCTCACGCTTGCTAACTGTGCCCGCTTGCTGCTCGCCACAGGTGCATCCAATCTCCACTTGAAATCTACCTTAGTAATTTTTACCTGAATTCCATCATTCTGAAGATGTCTTTTAAAGGACTCTGCCATACTTAAACTGATTCAGATAAATTTATAAAATTTCTTTACATATACGGTTGAAAGATTTTCAAGAATGTGTGCCCAGAATTTTGTGTCTAGGCTATGCTATACTCGATAATTTAATAAAAGGAAAACACACGTCTTCAACACCAGCTTGGACAAATATTACAAATTACAGCTTAGTGAGGCACTATTAATATCGTCACAAATCATTATGGCAGGTACCGCGTGAATGCTCAGCAAAAGATCTTGACACTTTTCTTTCAACTGCTCTCATTGGTGCTCAACTCAGGTTGGCAAAGTCAGCAAAGAGAGGTTGGTCGGGTGACACCCCAGCAACACCCGAAGAAGACAACGCGGCCACAAAAAACGACGTGGTGAAGGCTCCTGGCATAGTGAGTCAGTAGACGTGAGAAATCCTGTATTCCTACACTGGTTGGCATGGCAACACTAAAGCCTTGAGGGACACGCCCTCTGAATAACAGCCGTATAATCATTATGGTACTAAATCACCTTTTTACCATTTGAATCAAAATGCCCTTAAGTTTTCCATGAACTCGCAATGACAGCCCGGTCCTTAAGGTTGCCTTATGTGGTAGAATTCAAAGATTTACCCTAGCCATTAACATCAGAATATATAAATTATTTCTTCCCCTCAGTGTAATTTGGAGGATTCAGGTATCTTCATGAATTTGCCTTAAATTCCTCCTGTCTTTTTTATCTCTCTTACAAAGTCTGCAAGACACGGCATTCGTAAAAATGGATTTCCTTGTAATCAGTTTTGCTTTTTGTGTTTCAAACATCGTAACCGAGTTTTTCAGCTGCTGCAAGAGACGATCTTGTCTGATATCATTTTTACGAAAATCGTATCTCTCGACCACTTCTTCTGTTGGACAAAATATTGCAGAATTAGAGAAAATATGTTGAATTAACTTGATTGGGCGGTTTTTCGAGGAGACTCACTGGGGAGCACAAACTACTTTCAGCCACCTTGTGATCGCGTCAAAACGCTGTGAACCGCATTTTCAGACGTGGACAGTTCATCCAATTTGCTCAACCGCGTTTGTGCTGATCCAATTTAATGTCCATGCTTAAAAAACTTCTCTGTGCCTTATCATCAAAGGCAATACGCCTAAGCAATATCGAGAGAATCACTGACCGGCTTGTGGGGTGGACGAAGCACTGTCAATTAAGCGAAAGCTAGTCCGGTACGTGGTATTTTGTGCTCAGGAAACGCTTTTACGTTCTCATAAAGAAAACATTTAACCCACAGTGACTGATAACCTTTTCAAGGTTAAAGCACTGACTACCAGCTGCCAGGTTGGCGGTTTTCGGACTTTTATCTCCCAAGGATTAGTTTTCACCAGAAAGAGCTTGGCAGTGCCTGTTGTACAAATTTTTGAAGGTCTAAAGGCAGTGGTTCTTAATCCCCCCTAACTGGATGCAGCCCTGGATAGATTCAGCAGTTTCGCTTGCGTAGCTTTTAGTCGAATGTGTGTGCGTGGTTTGAACTCCCTCGCTTAAGGCGATGAAATGCTGATGCAGCCTAATAAAGTGACGCCGAGGCCAAGTTAAGTGATTACTATTTTAGAAACGGTGTTTTATCGTCCATCGTTAAGGATGCAGATTGCAAACACATTTATGTTTTTGTCCTATGGTCTATTCCACCTTTCTGACAGCCTCAAAATTTGAAAATTGTGGTCACTATCAACAAAAACCAAACAATGACTCAAAATATTTATAAAGGTTTTGTGATGTGAAAATTAGTGATACCGTTTTTCGCATAGTCATGACCATTCTGGAGGCACGATATCACTTCAAAACTACTTAAAGTATATCCATACGTGTGTGGGGTTGCACTTTCTCTTTGTAAAACACTGACCGAATTCCAGCAAACTGACAACTTGGTCCAAATTCCTTGCGATTTTCGGCTGATTATAGTGTAATTTTTTCTGGTTAATCATGGTAATTTTAACCATCCATTTTTCATTTATAAAAGCGATTAATTTTTTCCCTTTGATTTGCGAATCGCGCTCTTTGATCAATTTTGCTTCATTTCTTCCCATTTATGTGGAATCCAGGTATTAGATTTTTTGAAGATTACATGAAGTCTAATGCTACTTTCAGCCGTTGTGCGATGCACTTAATTTTTCTGCAATATTTCCCGTTTATTTGACTGTCCGAGTCATTTAGCGAGTCATCAGCGAATTCCCTTAAACAGACCACGCGATTAGCCAATTTTGATTTAACAATTTCTATGACCGAATGTTGCAAACTATTCCTAACATTTATGTTCTGTCACACAATCAACGTTGTGACCATAATTTTGTTAGTGAATCCAAAATCAAAGTATGAAATTAATGTTGTCTTTTGCTCGCCTGCATTTAAAAAAGAAAGCCAAAACTAATGAATGAAAGCGCAATTCCACTCAACTTTTTTTTCAAAATGGAAGCTAAAAGTACCATCTATCAAACACCAAACGCAAAAATCATGTAATCGGCAACTATACAAGGTAGTGGTATAAGTGTAACTTATTTCTAATAACATTGGGCTGTACAAGAAGGCTAACGCCTACCACTCAGCATCATTTGATTTTAATGGTACAAGTAATTATGTAGTTGTAAATGTCCACATTTTAGTCACTTAAAGGGTCAATTATAATTTGAGAATCAGCTAAAGTACTAGCTTTGTCTCCTTGACTCAAGAAACTGAGAAGGTGTAAAGTCCAGCAAATGTAGTAATGAATACATTTGCACATGTTCCATGCTACATTTGTAATAGCTAAAGCCGGCTACACCATACTTTTAAGGCTTCATTCTTTGCTATGGGACCTGGCTTTTACGAGACACAAACACGCGAGTGAGCACTCCTTGGTTATAAAACATGCTTTCAAGCTCTACATTGGAGTGTGCTTTGTGCCGCCTGTTAGCATACCAATAGGAATACAAATGACCACTTACTCCTTCGACCTGCTCAGCCAGCTTTTCGTTCAATTCACGCATCTCCCGTCTACTGCGTTCTCGCTCTTCTCGTGTTGTGCGCATGTCGGGGATGTCCAATTCGAATGCACTGCGAGAGAGCCTTTCCATTGACCTATCGGGGCTTCTTAGGGTTGTATTGTTTCTGGAGCTAATTGCTACTTCCTCTGCTGTTGATTCCCACGAATAGACAGGTAGAGGTGGACTCAATTCACTCGCTTCCTGGTCACTTCCTGTAGCAGCGGTGTTGGTACAGAAGCCGCTGTCTTGACTTCTAGCTCCGGCCGAAAACGGTCGACCTGATTGCCTCGATGTACGGGAGTTTTTTGTGTAGGTAAATTGCTTCGAGACCCCTTTGTGCGATGGATAATTCGAAGTAGCTTTACTTAAGAGACAGACTGGGTGACTTGAGCTACCAGTACCCCAGGACATGCTCTGCGGAAATGGCAGTATATCGGGATTCATTGCGTCGAAGCACGGCCTTGTGTCGAAGTGACCAATGAATGACTAACTTTGGGGAGAGAGTGAGAACGTGCTTTGGGCGTCGCCCCCACTGTGGCATGACTTCAAGCAAAGGCGATTGCCTTCGTGGCCAGCAATGACAATATCAGGTTGGCGAAAAATAACTAGAAGATTTTGGCTTTAATACGTCGGTGGGTCTACTAACAATGAGCTTATTAGTGCTAACCACTGTATCTTCAAATCCAGCTAGCAATTTGAGCATCGAGACTTCATTTTGTAAATTTCATACAGTGTCGGAATCAAGTAATGACGTGTCTTCAACACATTTAGTAAATATCTAAAATTAAGCATATCGATGCATTTACCTCCTGTTTATACCTGATTGTGTAACTAAGGGGCCGTATGCCAAATTGTACTTGAAAAAAAAGTAGGAATGGGTTGTGTTATTTTCTTTCTCAATAACCATAACTTTTGTTTGCTACATTTCGTGAATGCCCTACCAGCTACCGAAACTTCGCGTTTGCATTTGCTACTCTGTGTCTGCAAGCAAACCACAAATATAATCCTTCTGAATGCCTCCGCTATGCTGAATGCGAAAACAGAAACACAAGCAAGGCAAAGGGCAATTCATATCTTGACTCGAGATTCCTATTCCCAAATCATGCTCTTGGATTATCTTTTTGTAAAAATGCTACAATATCCGCCGGCAAATACCTTCATGGCTGGGTGCGCTGCAGGTAAGATGATGGAGCTAACCACTAGAATGCGAAGAAATTCAAGTTGCGTAACTTACGACGAAACATGCCCACCTTCGCATCCATGTTCCTTGAGAAACAGTGCGAAGTGAAGTGTGCTTGAGAGACCAGCCGGTGCGGGAAGTGCAAACGGCACCTCCGCGGTCAACTCGGGTGGTGGTGGTCGCGCAGGTGCGGCTGGCACGTGCAACTACCAGCAGGGCTGCCTGTGGTGGCAGCGGGGTCAAACGGGGGCTGAGCACAGGACTGAAGGCACGCTTGCCGCCTGCAGTGAAATCGTACTGCAGAACCCTCCAACCTGTCTCCTTGGGGTACATTCGGAAGAGGGTTTTATCATAGTGAGGCCAAGAGGTTGCTCACACAAAACAGACACTGTGTGTAAGCAAACCTGGAGGCAACCATGACCTCAAATTGTGTTTAAGTGGCCATTAAATTTTGGACCATTTTGAAAAATGAATGAGTTCTTTCGCCAGTGGCCGATAGGTTGGTTTGTGATGATGCACGATTACAAAATCGATTAATGCTGAATTGCACTGAAAAAAATGAAAAGTCCCAGAACATTTCTAGTAATGAAAAAGTGCTGCCTCAGTCTTGCTTGGGTTATTTAAATCAAGAATGCTGAAACCGATCAATGCTTCGAGAGGCAAATCGCTTTTCAATTTGTTCACTTTTACCCCCCCCCCTATTTCCAAGCTGACGAAGTATTATGGTTGAGATCAATTTCATCACATAAAACTAATTCAAGACCTTGCTCATTCGATCAGTTTTGTTGTTTGTTGACTCTAAATTGATAAGTACTTACTGTTAGCAACTTATTGCATTTTTAAGGCAACCTATCTACCGCTTTAAGACAACCGCTTCAAGACAAGGTATCAACCACGTAAATTAACCACGGGTTTTCTCAGGCGGTTTATATGGGACATAAGACGAACCGCATGCAATTACCTACAATAACCTGCTGCGTGAAATCTTGTTTAATCATAGAGTAATGTGGTTTTTCTTTAGTAAATTGATAAGTGCAAATACTGTGTTTCGTCCTCTAATTGAAGTTGTTCTACCATTTATTAAATTAGCTAGTTGTTGTTGGACAAAAGCAGACATCGGGAACCTGTCTCAGAAATTCCTACCCTATCAGCCAATACAATCCTTATAACAGTTTCATCCATTACAACACCCTAAATTTCTCTACCAGTACGGTAGCTTGCGGGCTGTTCATATTCAGTAGGCTTTATTTTACCTTTTGAATTGGTGAGGAGCCCAGAAACTTTGCAGACAGTTGTTAGTTGCTTGGGCTATCGTTTTATTTTCTGCTGACTTTTCAAACCACTGATAAGTGTTTTAGATACTGCTAAAAGGTGCATTCCTAAGTCTTCTGTGTGTTTTGCGCAAATCCAAAGGGTGGAAGGAGGGAGATAAGATGCACAGGAAGAGGCATGGAATCGCAGCTGTGCATGAGAAGTTCAATTATGCCATCTTTTTCGGTCTTATGAAAATCGCAATTCACGTCGCTTATCGCTTAATGCCTTAAGAATGACCATTCAAGAGCTGCTCAGTTGCATTCGACGATTAAAATGGTTGATTGGCATATATTGGCTGGTGACATTTAAGTACAATCATTCATACATGCGTTCGAATTTAATTCGAATGTAGGACACGCCTGTGTACTTAATTCCGAGTACAATTTCACCCCACTCCACAAGGCAACTATTAACAGGGCTCGTGTTGATGTTTTTACGTAGGAGTCGTCACTGGTTTCAACCATCGCACATTTTCGGGCCACCGATTGGAAACGTTGGGTGGTTATCACGCAGGTTAAACCAGTCTGCTCGGTTGGATGCGAAAAGGGGAAAGTGATGCCTAACACCTCAGCTGCACGCATCAGTTACTCCAACCAAACTGCTTAGAATTCAGACAAAGCAGGTGTTTCGATGTGTTTATTTTTTTAAAAAAGTAGTTCAAAATTGGCGCGCGGATAAACCAGACAGGGCGCGTCTTCTCCATTCCACGCTGAACTGGCAATCTGCTAAAAAGCATAAACAAATGTAAAAACGTGAGCCGATACTCAGCAAGCACTTTTTGTGCAAGCTTGAGTTTCGGTTTAGCCAAAATGAACTGCGCGTAATTCATTTTCCCAAAGTAGTTCTTGTTAATGACTAATGGAAAAGATAGCAACAAGCAGTTCGTCATTCGCCCATATACACTTTTACAGTCAATATCCTGATTCTGATATGAGATGAAAAAAAAATGACTCTGGACTTAAGCACTATCTTCTCTAGTTTTGCATCAGAATCCGAGATAAAACTGGAAACTGGTAAAAGGAAGTGCCGCTTCGTTAAATTAGCCCCAATAAAGTTGCGGACCATCGACGGTGAGAAGGGGCGACAAAATTGTGAGGCGATTAGACAGCCCATGGGATAGTTCTATAGGATGCCGTGGCGGTCGGATGTGAGAACGAGACTTCCCTAGATTCAGCCTCATTCACAAAACAAAAGTCGCATTAGCACCACTTCACCGTGAATCATTATGCTATTTGCATGCATGTGGGTCCCAATCCTAAGGCGAATTCTTTCAATTTTTAAAAGGAATCTCAAAGGAAAGAAAACTAACCCCTTGCAACCCAGCCCACTCCTGCCAATAACAGCGGGTGCGTCACTGCACCAGACCAAGGACTTACTGTGCTCTCGACATCGCGTCACCACTGTCAATGCCTAGGAGATGCATTTTGCTCCGTACTGGGCCCACAGACGCTCCCGTCACCGTTTTCCACATGCAGAGGACTCAAGAGAAGCGGTGAAGGCGGAGGAAGTGGAAGAACCAAGTCCTCCTCCGCTGCAGTCCGAGTGCTCTTCTGGAACAAAATGTGCTCAAAAGTAAGCATGGCACTGCAGACTATTCTCCAACCAACACGATGAAAAACGGGCCCGCCAACGCTGATAAACACGACCTCGGGACTCCGCGTAACCTGTGAGGCGACACGTAGTCGTGCATTTTCACGCGAGGGTAAAAGGTACTTTCAAGTTTTCTTGCAAGGCACTTTTGTTTAAATATTACGCGGCATAAGTCAGGGCAATGTCCCTTTCTATGGCCTCTGACTTTTGTGCAGCCACCTTACTAAAATTCCTTCAGATTTATTAAAAGGTAATGAGAATTCATAGTTCTTTTCACTGCCTTGTGTTCCCACGCCCACCGGTTTCGTGCTCACATCGACTGCTCTCGGCTTACTAACTGCGGTGTGTCGAGTGGCAGTGAAGGCTCCCTCGCCCCACGAGGTCTCGTTGACTCCGTCGCGCAGACGCGTGGAGGGCGCTGTCCCTCGGATGGACTTGCAGAGGGCTCAGTAACCCAGACAGGAGTCATTTAGGGTGCAGACATGAGACGCAGGGGAGGATGACGGAATCTCCTGGCCAAAGTGTAAGAAAGTGGACATCACAAATGCACTGTGGCACTCGGTGAGAACTAATTTTCGTGGAAACTCAGTGAAAGGCTCCAGATGCCAAATTCAAAACCGCAAGCATGCAACCGGCGGCACAAATACTGCACTCACCATGAGAACTGGCGAAAGCGGTGGTGTAGCTGGTGGCGGCAATTCAGATGGCGGCGAACGCGAGTTCAAATCCGCAGATTCCGTATTCAACGACGCCTCAGCCATCGACGATAGACAACTCAGCGAAAATATACTTCGTGACTTCGTTTTCTGCTTTTTTGTAGCCGAAGCAAGCACAACGGGAGGGGTGATCAAATGTGAGGCCGGTTTTATAGCAGTTTTCCCAGAAATCCTTAAATAAAAAGTCTACTGAATGTTTTGTTAGTAGAGAGCATAAGCAAAATTCATGGACTAGAACGTCCATCAACCTGTAATCCTTCCAGAACTTTTTTGGAATCAAGGTCCATATCCGCCTTGAGGACGAAGAGGAGTGTGTCAAATTTTCTCCGTAGGCTGATGCCTTATTACCAACTTTCACCCAGTTCCCCGTATCGTCGACTAACGACCGCCAGCCAGCGACCAACTCGGACGAGGACGCGAGAGTTGACGAGGAGGACGCGGAGGGGGTGGGTGCGGGTGCGCTGGGGTGCTTCCAAGGCACAGTTGGCCTTGCTCGCCCAGGCCCCAGTGGGCCGCTCGGGATCGCCACCAGTTCAATGTACTGCTCCTTCGTCAGGCTGGTGCATTGTCGCTGTGGGGCGGGGATGGGGCTGCTGAAGGTCAGCGGCTTCAGCAGGCAACTCTCCATGCACGCTTGATAAAAGACAAGATTGCAATAATCGTTGCGGTTTGACCTCGGATCATTAGCCAGGGCTGGTCAACTGGCGCCGTGTTATCAGAATTGCCTTTCGATTTCGGAGCATTCATTCATCTCGTCCTCGTAAAAGTGTTTAACTTGACAAATTTTGTACTCTGGTAGTGTCTTGTGGTCCACTCAAGCAGAATGATCCAAAACACACACATAAAAGCACACTAACACGTTGGATAAACGAGAACCACTGGCTGGTTTTTCGTTGCGTACGTAAACTCATGCTAGAAAATGACTTCAACTCCAACGAAATAATAGAAAAGTGGCCACCCGAAAGAACCTCCAGCGTGTTTTTTCGCCGTGCCTCCATCTATTGGGAGTGAGGGAATCTGTAGGGCTGTAAAACACTTGCGTTCTTATTCAACAGGCTTCGTTTGACCCCATCCTTTCGTAAGCTCTTTATCTGACAAAAATTGAGAGCAATTACGCTGAGTGATAATAATTGATTGCTCTAAAGGCTTTCGTATTCACCTGTGTCCAGCAATGGCGAAAACTGAAAGGAAACAAAGTTACGTCATGCGTTTAAAAGGGTCTCTGAGGCTATTTACCTGAGGACTTCGAGGTGTCTTCAAAAAACTGTTGTTTCGACACAGGCTTTAATCTATGCGTCCATTCGCTCACCTTGGAAGGCATTGACACCTTAGAACTACAACGAAAACGTCGCTGGTAAGCAGTAGGGCTTCATAGAAAAAGACAGGAAATAAAAGTCTGCTCACTGAGTCTCTTTCGCGGGCCTGCACGATGCCTTTTGCGCCTTTTTCGATTCACCAGACGACGAATCTCCTTCTTCCACGGTCCCGTTTCGGTTTTCTGGGATCTGAAACGGACATCCGAGGTGTGTGCATACAATACAACGCTAAACTTAAGTGGTCAATGTGCTGTGGCATCAATCCGTCCACTCCTAAAGGTCCATTTATTTGCCCCTATTTTGCCTCTATTTGACGTGATTTGAGTGAATATTCTTAATTCTACACTCGCTGCGCCATCGACATTCCTCGAAACGTGAATTTCTACTAGTTGCAAGCCCATTCAAATCTAGATTACAGCTGAAACGAGCTTGCTCGACAAATTGGTGTGGTCCGTGGAGGAACCGTCGAAATCGCGTGAGCGACACAGACAAGGTTCAGCAAAGTTAGGAGGGCAATTTTAGCCTCAGTAACGCAGTCCATTGTGGACGTCCCCCGCCCCTCCTCTCGGTTCAAGAGTGGCTCGAGACACGCATTGTCATTTTTGAGTCGCGAAGCGAGGCTTTGAAGTGCATAAAGTGAGGCGAGGTGGCAGCGCTGCGAGTCTGAACACCACGGCGACGTGGTCGGCACGCCGACGTCCGCCCGATCGCATGTTGCTCAGCCCACTATGGAGGTAGGCTGGGAGGTGACGATGCTTCCCCCTTTACCTCCATCAAACTAACACTTTTTCGAGCCGAAAGTGGCGCAACCCTAAGGATTAATCTAATAAGTATTTTGAGACTAGACCATACTTCCCTGCGAAACAGTAAAAGAAATCAATTGCAATGCATAATAATGCCTTTTTTGATTGATGTATTTTTGGTAAAGTAGAAAAAACTGACATTATGTTGTGTCTGATAAATAAACCGATTTACGCTTATCACTTTTAGTTTATGGCAAATTTCACCTCCGTGAAAATATACCCTATTCGAAGAATAATTATTTGTGCAATTTAGCAAAAGTAAGGTCAGTTTCTGACTTAGTTAAAAAATTTTTTAAAATTTGTTTTCTATGAGTTTTTTTTACTTACGCAACTGGTTGAAAAGGAGACTCCTTCACCTGAGCTTGGATACTCACTCAAAGGTGTGGTCACATTTCGTCGAAGTCCAGCACTGTCATACCGATGTCTTGACCCGTGGTCATCATCATCATCAAACTTCGATGGAGATTGTTGATCTTCAAGCACCTTAATTCATGAGAATAACACCATGTCGCTATTTTCACTAGAGTAATAGGCCGGTTAATTATGTGTTTAACTTTGCTGCAACGAAAGTCTGCTAATGAAAATCCATTTAAAAAATATCCCCGGTATCGTTTTTACAACTCTAGTTGGATGTGGGGACACTGCGCCCAATATTTGCATGAAAACCAGCCCTAATTAAGTGAGAATGCAGCTTCGATTTTTATCGGCTGCTCACGTGGCGACTGCGCGTTTCGCCAAAGAAGTCAATCGATGGCACTCCGCTTACTTTCCCACACCTCGGTAACTCGTCCACGTACCAGTAATGCGCTGAAAATCCAATACAACTTAATCTTGAATATTCAATCAATTATCGGACTCTACGCAAATGTAGATGACGAATACACGTAGGCCCTTGTTTGACTCATATCACTGATGTTTGTTTTTGCACTACGACAAACCCAATGACAACCTAGTTTAGTGCTACGTGGTTTCCTTGATGTCAAGGCACTTAGGTTTTGGAAACAGCAACAGCTTGATTGTGTTTGGAGTAGCAAAACACAACATATCGCAACTGAAACAGGCTATGATTTGTTTAAAGGGCCAAAGTCATGATGGTTTGCATGTTGTTTCGTAAAGAGCCGAAAGGATCGAAATTGTGCCCGTGAAAAAATCTCGGCTTGAACCAGGGTATGAGCAAGATCTGCTCAAAATTCAAGAGTATCCACCGTTAAACTCCCACTTCAGTTTTTTCCCCTCATTAAGATCCAAACAGGACCAGCTGTTAAAATCTAAATTATGACCACATCCCATTTTAATCTACTTACTCGAAGTTAATGACATCGACTAGCGGATTCGTTTGACTTTACATCCCTTTTTGAAGGTAGTACCTCATTATAACCACTTTGCGACTCCTCCAGCTCACTACAGATAATACCAGGGATAAGAAATTACTTAAGTTGAAGCGAAAATGCCAGTGACATTGGGTGGAATCACACATGAGCAAAGGTGTGGGAACGTGCGTCATCTTACGAAACACAGCGTCCTCAAATATTCATGGACATATCGAGATGAAAATTTGCTGTGATCGTCAAAGAAAATATACCAAAAAACCTTGGAGCAGCCGGGTGCATATGGATGTTTCGGACTAGCTTCTCAAGGCACAACTTAAGAATGGTACAAAGACTTGTGTAGAGATTCATGCTGGAAAGGAAATAAATGAGATTTTGTAGGAACTGTGATGCACATGTTTATTAATTTAGCACAGATAACTTAAACAGCTAGTCCCTATTGTCCTGCACGATACGAGTGTCACCTAATTAGTGCTACCGTGTGCACACGTTATGCTTTGTCTTTAATTGTGTTAATCAGTTTTAATAAAACGGGACACAGACTTCATGGGTTTTATCCTGATTTTTGAAATGCTTGATTAATCCAATGCAAACATTTTTTGACAAACTGAAGTGGCAATGAACTAATTTAAATCGAATAGAATACAACTGTTCCTACCATGTTTTGTAATTACTACGAATTCTGAAACAGGCTGTGTTTATTTACACTCGAAAATACTCACCCTACCAGCTTGCAGCACCACCTCGTGTAAATTTTCGATCGGTCCACGAGACGAGGGATCGCGTCGGAGGGCATTCTTGAGTGCAGGACGCAGTCGCGCTAAAATGGACTGCTGCCTCGAAGTGTCTGATGCACTCTCCGTTGTTGAGTGAGCCGCGCTGTTGAAGCGGGGTGCACACAGTGGGTCAAGCAGCTCTTGCATGACCCTTGCGATGCCGAAGGTGTCAGAGGCGGGACTGGGGACGCAGTCACCGCCCAGGATGCTCTGGTAAGCGGAGTCACCTGCACCACCACCGCAACCACCACCGCCCTGCATGGCCAATCCGATTTGGCCCTGGCAGCGGCTGAACACCACGACCTCTGGGGCCAGCCAGGGCGCAAGGCAGACTATCTCATCGTCGGATAGCTTCTTTGAGGGCTCGCTCCTGATCCATTGCTTGTTTGGACTGATTGAACTTAAGGATGAGTTTGATTCCCTGAAAGGAATGGCATAATATGCACATCTTCAGTGTGGCCAATCAGGAGCAACTGCTTGTCACCCCCATTAAGCTCTTGAGCTAACGTGAGGTCTCTGTGCCCTAACCCTTCGCTAACTGATCCCAGCTGGGCTTTCGTTGGCTCTTCGAAGAGATTCTACACACTTTAAAAAACATGCAAGAAATACATTGGTTTGTGCCACATTTGGTAGCAATTAGCATAGCACTGCATGGGTATTATTGTAACTTTACAGATAATGCTAAGCGATGGGATTTGATCTACCCGGAACAGTTAACATGCAAAATTAGCGGTCTTTTTAAATCTTTTTTTTAAATTTCCAAATCCAAAAAAGCAAGATTACACTGGTATTTTAACATGTCTCTTAATATTCGCTCCTTAAAATGGTTTCAGTAGTTGCGATAAATAGGTAGGACTTTTTTAAACCATAAGACTTGAAAAAAGATTAAATGGAACTTACGGCCAAAATTGTGCATGCTCAAAATTTGCCAACTTTGCAAGATCAGCATTGACTAAGAAGATTGAGTATGAGCTAATTGCACAGTGAACGATGCCAAAATGCTTCAAAAATACTAGTGCTTCGATGATTTGTCGAGAAATCGCCAGACGCTTAAGTGTGCATAATAGTCTGCCCTAAAAAAAGATATTTTCTGTGTCACCAGCCTTGCATGCTAATTCTAAATTTTTTGTCGTTTAAACTCGCTAGACTTTTTCAAAATGAAGCCTAATTTTAACGTTTTCTAATTTAATAATGAAGTAGAATTATGTAATGGCAAGTGGTAAACAAAACGCCTCAACATTATTATCAACCTATCGTCCACCTTTATTAGATTCCCCAGTATAAGTAACCACATTAATCTTTTTTCGTTGTATTAAGATCTTAGAACACCACTTACCAGCACAGGGTAAATTGTGGATAATTTCGGAACAATTTTACCTTTTTGCAACATCGTTGCAGCGAATATGAAACCACTTAAGAACTTATGACTTCGGAGTAGTATAATATCAATGAATATTTATTGCCATGAATTTCACTTAGTATATTTGCTAGAACGTGATGAGTCTAGTATAATATATTAAAATTCGAATGAATTTGTAAAATTTGCCTCACCTCCTTCTTAATAACATCATTCAAGCAGCCACTGTAGACCCTCTCAACAACCAGACTGGGAACCATGGACTGGGGCATAAGAAACGTTACACCAAGAAGAAGAAGAATGTTTGGGTGACGAAGTTGGCTAAAACGTGGACAGATACTTTATAGGACACTCAATAAGACTAGTGTAAATTAAAGCTTAGATGAACATGGTGTTAAGTGTATGCTCAGAAGTCAACTTATAATCATACCTTAGCCAATAAAGTTCCGCGTTCGTTTGTTGCAATACGTTGTACAAAATCTTAGGGTTTCGTGAAAAATGGTGTGAGACTTGCTTTGGAACGCTACGAAGTGACACAGGAGTTCCATTCCAGGTCATGCTAAAAATGCGGAAATCTGTCATTCAGAAAGGTTAACACTAAAACACAGATTTTACTAACAAACTTGCCTTTTCATTATAAAGAACCGTTTTGGAAGGATAAAAAATGGCTGAATATTCAAGGGTTGTATTTCCGACGGAACAATAGTAGGTACATGCAAAATAGAATCTGCAAATTTGTCCTAAAACAAATTAACATAAGTATCTTTTACGTCTTCAGTAGCTAAATGCAAAAAATTTGTGTTCTCTTTGGCTTCACTAAAAGTAGATCGACGAAACAGTTTCGAAATGAACTCGAAGACCCAAGGATCTGCGCCGTGAAGATGAAGAATTTTTGAAAAATGCTGGGGAATTTCTGCTTTTTTGAAGGTAGACTTAATCTCTCGTTTTGAGTGTTTCTCAAACAATACTTCGAGTGCTGTTTTACCAGTATGATCTCGTAGGTCATACCGGGCTCCGTTTTGTATAAGTAGGGAAAATACGTCAAGGTGTCCGGCGTAAGCAGAAATATGAAGCGCAGAACATCCAGACGCATTGATTCTAAAAGCCATTATAAATTTTGCTACTTACAGGTCTATGTTAGCCCCAAATGACAGAAGAATCTTAGCACCTTTCATATTGTTTTGAGAACAGGCCAGCATAAGAGGAGTCTCTCCGAATACATTCTGACTGTCTACATCGGAACCTTTTCCATATTTGATCATAAAGTTTCCCATACCTTCAGCAAGATGCTTAATAAGTTCCTTTATATTATTTCGCTGTATGTCAGTATGGAGGGGACCACCACAATTGTTTTGCAAAGTGCTGCTCATGGCTTTCAAAAAAACGCCAAGGTTAGTAGAGAGCTCAAGAAGTTAATGCATTAAGGTTTATTTTGAAACTAAAACAAATTTAATTTTTATAACTAAAAATGCAATACATTAAATTTGAAGGACCTAGCCTATGCATAAATAGAAATAAATTATATATATCACTAGTTGTTGCACATCGCAGCTTCGGAATTTTGTCATGCACTGTAAATAGTGTGACAATGTCCTTCCAAAAGTTTCTGAAGAATTTGTAACCTACTAAAATTCAGAACATAAATCATAATAGGGTAAGAAAGAAAATTAGAAAAATGGTTGTTTATTTTAAAAGTAGGAAAGAGCACATAGTTAAATACGTTAATTTTTTCCGGTTTTACAAGTATTTATTTAATCGTTGCTCTAGTTAGGTTTTTTTACTGAAAACTACTAACACCTTGCCAACTGAACGTAGCAGCCAACGTTGTCCCAACGCGATTAACACGCATAATTTTGCAAAGATCCAGTTGCCGTTTATTCTTTTATATCGCAATGTTTGAGACCCATTTTCGTGCACAAATATTGTTTACAGAAAATCTTGTTGCTTGATATGACAGTTTACAAACGCTAAAAACCTAACCAGCAGTCATCTTAAAACATCTCGTTTGTATGTGCAATGAAACGTCTATTAACGAAAGTGTCAAACGTCGCACTGCTCTGAGAAAATGGGGTTTTTCTTCAAATAAATATTGCTTTATTGTTTTATAATGGTGGACTTTGGCAATTTCACATAAGTGTGAGAAGCTATAAATTTTCACGCAATTATATTTAAAGACTAAAGGCCATGTAGGTTCAATGCATCTACTCATGTTCAAACTAAGAAAGCGATCCGTAATTCTAGTCCAATAACTTTTAATGACTACTTCGTGAGAACATTGCACGTTTGTTTCATCTAGGTCAAATAAATCCCGAACCATTTTCTATTTGAGTTGTTGGGGTCGATTGTGCAACGTGGAAACTGATAATCACAGTAACTGGCTTATTTGCATTCGATTTCCTCTTCCAGTCAGAAACAAAACCATATTTCTGCTAAATTAAGTTAAAATTCAAAATACCTTACATGTTTCCTTTATTCACAGGGAACGGAACCATTGACTAGTTAAAACGTCAATAAATTTTAGTTGAGTCTAATGAATCACTATTTTGCCTACTCAAATGTGAGAAAAATTCGAGTATAGCTGTAATTACTCCGGCAACAAAACAGAAATATGTTTTAAAAGGCAAAGGCCACAACTTTTTAATTCCAGCGTTTTTCGTGAGTAGCTAATTTTGGCTGTGGCATTTTCTGATAGATTGTCCTCATATTTTGTAATTTGCTGGTGTTTTACGTGTATTGATTTTGCTACTATTAACTTTAACATAGACCTTATTACTTTGGAATAGCGTACAATATGGAACACAGGATCTTGCAGCTGCTGCAATTTAGATCGAGAACAGTGGTTAAAACAAATGTCACTTAACCCAGATTGAGGTATACTGAAAAAAAAAGCCTAAATAGTTTATGCTCTGAAATTAGCTTAATCGATATGAATACTACAGCTTGGTCGGCAACCCACTCTGGTAATACAGTTTAATAAAACTTTCTGTATTCTTTAGTTGATGTTGCAAAAATTGTTGTCGTGTGTACACCTTTGCTCATAGACAAGAGGTGATCATCATCTGAATAAAACTCAACAAGAGATTATCATTGTTGAGCTATTTTTACAGAAGCAGCATCGTCAGGTTGCAGTGTTGTGACACGAACGGTGCAATTTAAAAGCTGTAGAAAAATCAATAAACCTTCACGTCCACATGCACACTGCTGCTGCAAGCCATGGACTTGGAGGAATTATATCCTCCATTCCCGTTTATTAGCATTCCAGACTTTCACACCGTCAAAATCGACTGGTATGAATTCTTGGAGGAATTTGAAGAAAAGGGAATGAATTGCGCCATGGAAGTATCGGTAAAACGCTCTGATGCAGAAAATTGGGAAAGGATTTATCTGTAAGGTCAATCACTTTACTGACGCAATCACCTTCAGTGGGAAGGGTACATACTGTATTTATGAGAATCTAGAAGGATCAACTGAATATGAAATGCGATTACGAGTTATGGTGGATGAAAATTTTGGCCCCTATGGAAATGTCGAAACGTTTGAAACTCCCCCCGAGCCGATGTCTGCCTTTGATCTGCATAAAGCGATCAAATTCGAGGACATGGATGCTCTGAATGCTATGTTAAATGAAAGGTGGGACTTATTTTGGGATGGTTAATGCGCTGGTTTGTTACATGGAATCCCCGTGGTGGTGGGAATAAATATGTAATTTGCATCTTAAGCGCGGTACACACGTGGATTTCAAATACTTTTAAAAAAGGAAAAAAAGTTGTCGACAACTCCAAGTGTTGATATTTATCATAATAACAAGCCGGAGCAAGTGTTTTAACATTGTAAACAAATTGTGAAATTCTTCAATTGCTGAAGCCAGTTTTTGACGATTAAGGTCACTGGTTTGCACTTTCCGTTTTTAGTATTGTGCGATTTAAATATATAGGAATGTAAAAAAGTATGCATCAGTGGTCTGTAATACTGTTGCACATTTCTGTTACTTGATGAGCACCGATGATATCAGAGTTGCTATAATCTGGTCGTGTTTAAGAGCACGTAAAGGGATTTTTCATGTTTCTGAACACTTGACTTTTGGTTAAAATTACGACTTACCCTCGAATGGTCTGATTTGGTTTGTTTTCTCGAGGTATGTTAACCTTCACTGTGGGAGCCGACTTGTGATTACGAAATGAAAACGTTGAATTAACTACGTGGAACAAACAATATGCTATTTTAGAAGTGTTAGTATGGTTAACAACATACTTTAATCCTTTGTACTTTGCATCAACAAACTTGTGTGTTTGAAATGTGGTTAATTGGATTGATATTATAATGGGAATCAGTGTAACCTTAATGCATGCAAAAGACGCTTCACATTAATCCATTCTAATAGAGTAAACGAAGTTGGTGAGAGCAGTCAGATTTCAATTCCCCAGAACTTCTTGAAGGTAGGACGAAGTCTTGTTAAGCGCATGCCACTTATAAGCCCCATATGTACGTGTTTTAGGCTTTCAATAAACTACAATTAAAACCTGTTTTTACCAGATAGATTACCATAACTCACATAATTCATGCCACAACTTTACTTCTAGCACTTCCAAAATAGAACTCACGGATCAAATGGATTATACGCCCCTAATGGTAGCTGTTAGTCGAAACAATAAAGCGTAAGTCTAACAAAAATTCCAGTACTATTAATTCGGTATTGCTAATGTGCTTAAAGTGAGATTATTTTACCTATTTTGGGCTCCAGAATGACAGCTTTATTGGTAGCATTTTATTGCAGGTTTTAGCATTTATGATATAACAAGTGTTACTTACAGACCGGTATAGAGTCTTTGTGAAATTACGTATATTTGTGCTGCCGAGGTAAATCTCATATATATGCTGTCGAATCAAACTATCACCGAGTGTGAGTGCTTGTCGCGAAGGGCTATTTTATGTCTAACACTTGCAATCCTATTTTGAGAAATCAACCCTTAGATGGTGGTAAAATAAAAGTTGTTTCTAATTTGTAAACACATGAAAAGATCCTCTTCGAGTAGATATGAGCTAGATATTTCCGACCATCTTAATTGCTCACATTGGGTAGCAAGAACCTCATAAGAAATACCAATTTAGTGTCAAACGTTACTTTTGACTCGAGGCCCGTGGAGCACTTGGTTGTTTTAAGTACCTCATGGTCCAGAATCTGCAGCAAAATTGGCTCACGGCTGTGATATGTCTAACAGAAGTTGAATCGCTGCTTCTAATAACTGGTGGATTGACTCTGCCTTTTTCCGTGCTCTAGGATAATTCGACTTCTCCTGAGCTATGGAGCTAACGTCAACACGGCAAATAAACTTGGCAAGACGGCTTTGATGTTAGCATCTAACAAAGGTTACATTGACATCGTTGAAATTTTAATTAAGAAAGGAGTCGATGTAAATGCTCAGGTGAGTAATTATCACATCCATTGAAAGGCGATTGGCTTTTACTTTCTGCTATAAAAGGTATTTTTGTTAACCTCTGATTTTGCACCAAAGTTAAGCCGATCTGTATTAAAGAACCCGTGCTCTCCTCTAAAGGTAATTTAGCCCTATTAGAAGACTGGTAATTGAGGCCGTTATCTTCTTCACGAAACCAGTTGGGTTAGTACTTACAGGCTTGCCTTCCTGAACGGCACCAAGGATTAAAATGGCCTACAGTCAGGTTTAAGTTGGAATAATTACTAAATCAAGTGGGTCCGAATCCAAAAATTTAATCTACAAATCAAGTTACCATCACGCTAAATACATCGCTATCTTTGAATCAGCCTAACAGTTTCCGAAGGTCCTCGTTCAAGGATTCTTCTACGGAGTATTAATAGTAGGCTCTGTTTACTGCCATAGAATATTTGTGAGTGGTTTCTGAAGAAGGTAGAGCGAAACCTCGGTGCGGAATGACCTTCGCTCGACTGTATTGAAGTAGTAAAACCTATTGCCACGTTTTCGCCTTTTCTACGGCCCTACGACTACAGTGTAACTGATTAAAATATGTAAAGGCAATGATTTGTCACTCCAAATAAAGATTTCCTTGAACTGCAATTCGCGGACGCCGGTTGGGCTTTGTGTGAATTATGAGATCAGTCTTTGCTTGAGTTGGGGTAAGATTGCAAAGTCACATAAGTAAGATGAGATTCTGGAGTTTGACTTGCGTCAGAATCTATGATCTCCTACTGCAGGATATTCACGGGATGACAGCCTTATTCTATGCGGTAGATGGAGAATTCAGCAATGTGGTGCGTGCGTTGGTGCGCGGCAACGCGAACGTCGACCACTGCGAGGCGGACAACGCGCACACGCCCCTCATTCGGCTTGGTGAGCACTTCGTAATTCCCAACTTCCTCTAGCCATTAATAATTTCAGCTGAGCTACCGTTCCCTTACCTGGCGCTAGTGGAACGAATTTCCTCTTTGTCTGTGCATATTACTGTGATGGAACAAGTGAGAACGACTTACTGTTGCAGCATGTAATGTCAACAAAAAACGAAATGAGTTAAATTGTGTAATTTGTAAAGGACCAATGTTCTCAAATCCCGTTAACTTCTTCTTACTGTCTTAGCTCAAAATGCCTCAAAAGCAACCTGAATCTGTAGACATCAACAAATGAGTAATTGTCTACATACGTGTAAACGTCATGTCCTTTACCTTTGGGTCTTTTTCATGGAAGCCTGTCTGGCCAACAATGGGAATCCCAAGGTGGGAGCTACCCTCATTGAATGCGGCGCAAATGTGAACCAGCAGGACAAATTCGGCCAGACACCGCTGATCCACTGCGCTTTTCACCGAAACCACGCAGACTTGGCGAAAGTCCTTCTACAACACGGAGCTGACCTCTCAATCACAAACAACGTAAGCTACTTCCTCCCGTTAATTTCTGACTCGGCATCCTTAACGCTAATCCTAACATAAGTACCGTGTTTAGTGAAATCCGACATGTTACGTTCAATCTTAGGTTTCATTTTTGAGCATTTTCTATCAACGTGTTGTCTATTGTATGCGACAATGGGTATGTAGTGCAAAATCACCTTCCAGCCAATACACGAATTTATCTGGCTTTTTTTCCCATCCTGCTTCTTGGAGGTTGATTTAACAAATACAGGCAAGCATTGTCGATTGTGTTTGTTAGACTTAACGCTGAACCCCAGGAATACTTCAACACAAAATCTGATGCATTTTGAATTTCTCAAGATGCACAGTTACGTATTTTCTGCTCAAGGCTAAAATTGACCACTTTGCTGAATTGACTTTAGGCCTGGGACTAAGTAACTTGTAGACGAGGTACTTGAGTGACTGGTAGTGACCATTTTATTTATATGGCTGTTTGACCGCTTTCGTGGCGAGCATGAAAACAAATCTACGGACTTCATTAGTCGTTTAAAAATCTACTTCTTTAGAAAAAGAACACTGCTATGGATATTGCCAAATCACTTGATAATACGGTAAGGCAACCAACTTCTCGTTAAAACTCAATCCCTTTCTAGAACTTTCTTCATCTTGTGAGCCTCTTCAAAAAGAACAGGTAAGATTGCAAAGCGCAACTCTTTTTAAATGTATACAGGGTAATCATGTTATCCTGAAACTGCATTATGTCTTTGTTTTATTAGAGCAAAGGATTCGTAGTGGTCCGTGTTACTCTTCGTTTTGTTGACAGTTGCGAAGATAACTCATTAAAGAGGCTGCGGAGAAGAGTGAAAATAGCTAAAATGTGAGAAAAAATCTCTATCTTACCTTTGTACAGAACACCTCCCCACAATATAAATTAATGTCTTACCAACAAAAACGCGCCTGCAAATCCCACGCATGATTGGTGGAAAATTTCAGAGGCAAGCAGATTGAGTGCCGCTCTTAAACAACCCTAAATACAACTTGATGAATAGTTTATGCTATCACCTACAATTCTTTCAAAAAAAATTATTGGAATTGGTTATTAAGCATTAACCCGATCAAAATTTATTTGGTTGATAAGCGATAGTGGTTTCCTGAAATATCTTGCAAGACTCCTCGTCTAGGCTGAAAGTCAAATCACGTCATTGCTACAGCATGTGGCAAAAATCACATAAGTATTAGCTAGATGTCTCTCAATTTGAAAACCATAGGAAGAGCCTAGACATTCTCAACTTAGTGCGAACTTTCGTTGCAATCTTCATTAAGTGCAAATGGTGACAACGTTTACAACTATGGATGTCAAAGTAGTGGGCGAAATTTTGATCGGCTAGTAGTAAATCCAAAGGGATCATCTTGAGTCCTGAGGGACACAGTTTATTTTGTGGAATGAAGGCTTTGACCCTCACAGATCCACTTTCATGAGAAAGAGGGCTTAGATATCAGGACTGACGAAACAACAACCGCTCATGGCCAAAGATTTTGTCCATCATGGTTTTGGGTAAAATTATAGTAAATTTAAATCAGACAATGTTCGTACATGATGAGCAACTGTGCCTCTCACACAGACATGTGGTTTTTCCATCGCCTGAAAATCCTGCCCTCCGTTTTTGCCACAACAACGCAACTAAAATAAAAAGCCCATTTGCCAGAGGACGCTAATAGTTCTTTCCTTAAGTTTAATACGTACAACTGTTTGAAGGGAGTACAGTTTGAGAGCATCTTCATCTGAACCGGTAGATGCGACGAAGTTGTTGAGGAGCTCGTTGAGCGAAATTTCTAGCCGCGAGCCCACCTGCAATTCATTTGTACACACAGTGCCATCAACGTTGCTCACCTTGATACGACAAACCTTGTTTAATAACAATTCTCACCGTTACACGATTGTGGAGAGCAAAGGTTCCGGCTGATAGGTATCCAAGGCACTCAAATGTTGTTAAGCAACAGTGCTAACAGGAAATAAAATACTAGAATCAGACAAAAACTGTGGGATTTCGGTTTTCATGCCATCAGACTTGTGAACAACCATTTACCATGGAACCTGAACTTATCGTGCCTCATATTGTTGTGACACAATGGAAACGGTGCCTTGAGCATGGATGTGCCCTGCGGTCGACCACAGGATTCCATGCATCCAAAGCACCTTGATGTTATTTCAATATCAAATGGTCAGAACGTTTCAGCATTTGCAGAAAATTAACAGAAATGTTGCCTGCAATATATGCTAAAGGCTAGATGAATGTCGTCTTAGATCGGAAGTAGTTTTAAACTTTCAGTCTTCCCAAGTGCAAAGCACAAGTGCACCCTCATGGCTGTTGCCATTACCATCAGCGTGGGACCAGGCTTGCATTAAATCGTACTTTCCTGAATGTATGCTCAAGAACATACCAGTAGAAGGGGTTCCTTTTTGAGTGTGATCGCTCCGCAAGTCCCAGCCATTCCGGTAATCATCGTCAATGCTGAGGTGCATATTATAATGACCATACCTAGTAGAAGTGATTATCTATTTCATCCAAATGAACTTACCTGCTTGAACATCAATAATGCCTATGGAGGGCAAGATGGCAAGTTCTATTCGAAGAAGCAGATAGACGCAATAAGCCAGACACCCGCAGCTGTATGTCTTGAAAAAAACACCAGGAAATTGCGAGAACGTCTTAGGATATTATATTTCTGCTCACCGTGATAATGCATTGTGCTTTGAAGTCAATGGTTCTGTTGAAATTCTATGCACAACAAGGTACCCCACACCATTCACAAGGCTGACTAAGTGAGAGCAGGTATCCACGCAAATGCCTGAGCGCCCCCGTTAGGAAATTAAGCCAATCACCAGAGATGCAGTTCCTTATCGGACCAGGAAAGTGTAGGGTCTAACAGCTTGACAGTTCTAATGATTATGTTATACTGGCAATACATTGAACATTAATATTGCAGGTTTATACAGTTAGTCAAATTATGTCAGTTTCAAAAGACCATTTTTTTCTTTTCCGTGAAGAAGAGGCACAAAGCGTTTACTCTTAAAGGCATGTATTGGTTGCATCAGAACGGCCCGATTCGCAAACCACCAGTTCACTTGGGATAAATCTGCTAAAACCCACATGTCAGGCCAAGCATATTTCCAGTAAGATGCCAATTAAGACAAAGGTTTTAGGCCGTTGGACGGTAAAATTGTCTTCTGATGTTCACAATTTCGCACTTTGCCTTTAAGCAAATTAAACGCTGAATAACTTAACAAAAGTCCTGGCTTAAAATTACTGCCATATGCCACTAACTACTCAACAAGGATGAAGCCTGCGGAAGTACAGAGAGTCAACTGGTTATTCGAGGACTTTACAGGATCTTAATGTTGTTCCAAAATCGATTTTAGAAAAGGAACGCTTCAAATCTTCCGAATTCCGAATATTACGAGGGATAACGCGTTAGTCCAATATAATCAACTGCCTGTAGTCATAAATCAAGTTAGCGGTGACTTCAGTTTTGCAAAATATGTGCTAGTTATAATTATGTAGCAAAAGTGTGAGTAGAAACTAAGAAGTTAATCTTTTAATTCTTTCGAAACTACTTCAGATTTTTTTACTAAACACGTCTAAATCTTACAGGATCAGCGCTTACTGCGGGACTGGCAAAGTCTAGTTGAAAATACTTTACACAATAGCAATGGAATTGTCAGTACTTCAACACTAGGTTAAGACACCGCTTCTATAGATTTGCTGCAATTGTTCGTGGTGCTAAGCGAACTCATCCATCACTGCGTTCCATTATAGCCTTCCTTCTGTGAATTTTTCGGATCCTGCAGATCCCAAACTAACTGGACGCAATGTTTCGTGGCATCACGTTCAAATTCCAGTTTTCTTACTTTATAGGATTCACGATAAACGTCAGCCAGAGGATTCGATTATTTGTTACATAAAACATGGAATTCTTTTTCGCCTTTAATACCGTTCCCCATGTGAGTCCACCCAGACATTTTCGTCAGGGCGTCGGTCTTCTGACCAGACTGAATCGACCCACTAAAGGGAGGAGGCTATGCTGGTGGTGGTGGTGGTGGCGGCGTCTAGACGGAACCCCCGCGAACCACGTGTCGATGCTTGCGCCGACCAGGCTGCCCATGTCCTGGTTGCAGCTTCTTGGCCAAACGCAATCAAAAAAAGGAGCTTTTCTTTTTTCAATTTCATTGAAAAAAGAAAAATCCGTCGTTTTTATTTGAGACATTCTTCCTACGGCATTACCAATGGAATTTTTTCAAACGCCTCTAAGAATCAATCACTACTGTCATGTACATTGATAAAAAGCAATAGATTCAAGGGAGTGTGAAAATTTGTTGCGAAAATAGAATAATACGACCCTGTGGACGGGTCAATAACAGGGAGCTGGTTTTAAAGTGACTGACCCATGCCGCGAGACTGGCGACACCAGTTAGGCCCCGAAGCCAAGCGATATCCCTTGATCCGGATGTCGTGGCCATGGTGAAGTGCTTTGTTCTCGTCAATCCGCGAACTTGGTAATAATGCACAGACAAGCACGCGCGAGCACACGTACACGCATTTTGCATGCAGAAAATATGCAAAACAGGACACAAAACAAAAGGTCACTCAGTCCATTTACAGATTTGCTGCAATTTGTCTTCAGTGGTCCAACTGGGTACTTACCAGATTGGTAGTCTCAGAAAACTGTCTAGCTGATTTAAAAATTTACCGGTATAATCACACATCGCTTGGTCACTTTCAGAAGGGAACGGGTAGGAGACAGACATTTGTTTTAAAGCCCTTGGCTTTTCCTTTGGCGTTAGAACAAATGACACGTCTTTATAAAAGTGGTAGCAGCGTTCAATATACAAGAATAATTTACCGCTCCAATCGCAGTTTTCCTATCCATAGCCGCATTCTGCCACTTTGGGGTCAGCTAAGCTTCTTGTGCATTAAATGACCCGACATGCAGGCCACGACACCAAATGTCATCAAATTGACCACTTCTTAGCCATTTCGCTTAATGCTGTGTAGGAATCTTTGGAGAAGCTGATGCACATT